GTAAGTGGTGTTCAGTTATGTGTGTTCATATGTGTGAAACAACAGTGATTACATTTTGCTCATGGAGTCTGTGGGTCGGGAGTTTAGATAGGGCATGATGAGAATGTCCTGACTGTGCTCTGTGATGTCGGAGACCTCAGCTGGGAAGACTGAATGGACGGGAGTAGCTTACTTGGCTGTGGCTGGAATCATCTGGTGGTTCTTTACCCACACGTCTAGATGTCTGAGCTGCAGTGACGAGAATGCTCGTATCATTTGGGACTGTTGGTCAGAGTGCCTATATGTGACTTCTCTGTGTGGCTAGGATTTCCGTACGACATGGTGGCCTCAGGGTAGTTGGACTGTTTGCTCTAAAGGAAGTGTTCCAGCAATAAGGCGGAAGCCACATGGGCTTCATGACTTTTTTTTCTCAGAGCCTGTAGTGTTGCTCTTGCCATATTTTATTGGTCACACCAGCCACAAGCCTGTCTCTATTTAAGAGGAGGGAACAGAGGGGCACCTGGGTGGCTCGGTGGGTTAAGCCTCTGCCTTCGGCTTGGGTCGTGATCTCGGGGTCCTGGGATCGAGCCCTGCGTCGGGCTCTCTGCTTGGCGGGGAGCCTCCTTCCTCCTCTCTCTCTGCCTGCCTCTCTGCCTACTTGTGATCTCCTCTGTCAAATAAATAAATAAAATTAAAAAAAAAAAAAAGAGGAGGGAACAGAGATCCCACCTCTATGAGAGGCGTGCTAAAGGATGGGCCATCATGTTTTAACACCATCACAGGGGCAAAGCTCGGTCATATGAGCTTGGCTTGGCTGGGGAAGGGACAGTGGGCTTTGCCATTGACATCACGCAGCTTCCCTCTCTGGTTTCAAGGTAACTAACTGCACCTGTTGTCACCATATCCCTGTTAGGGAAAGGGACAGCGGAGGACCAGCATCTCCTTATAAAGGTGTGGTTCAGACATTACACACGTCACATCTACCTGCCATCCTTTGGCCAGCTTGTCATCCTGTTGCTACATGTAGCTGCAGGGGAGGCTGAGAAATGTCTGTTACTGGATGGCTGTGTGCCCAGCTACTACTCAGTGAGGTCCTATTACTAAAGGAAGTAAAGGTGAATAAGCATTAGGAACAATTTGGTTTTGCAACAGTGTGTATCTGTCATATGTATATATATATATTTATGTGCATATATATAGGAATAGGTCTATATAGAACAGAGAAATGCCAGGCTACAGTCTGGAAGAATACATAGACAGAAGAAAGTGGTACCAGTAGTTACCTCTGGAGAAAGGGAAGAAGACAGGATGTGGGATATTCATAGCAGACTGTAGGCATAGCGGTAGTGTTTTAATTTTTAACAAGGATAATGTCTTCATGTTTTACTTAAGAAATTAAATATTAATTTAAATCCAGGAGGGCCTGGTGAGCATCTGGCTGCCTGATGTTGCAGTCTTGGTCTTATCTTTCTGTGGTGGGAACCCCACCCCACAGAGTGCCAGGAGTTAGCAGAGCCTTTTATCTTCCAGGAGCCTCAGCTGCTGTTGCGGAGGACTCCGGAGTCAGAGGCCCCACCTTCTCAAGGCCTCATACTTGGGATCTCTCTGCCCCCATTCTTCCTGTCCCTTTCTGGAGGGTTTCCTTTATTACTAGCGATTAGTTGAATGTAGAGGGCCCCGGAATTCCCAAAAGGGAGTAAATCACAGCCTCCCTCTCTCCAGAGTGCTTGTTAATTACAGATAGGAAGCTGGTCACTGAGAATGGAGAACGCAGTGGGCATCAAGCAATCAAAGTTAGCGTCACAGACACTGTGTCCCTCCTGATAGGAGCAACGGAGGGCACAGCATCACTTTAATGGCATTTCTGTCCCAGAAGCATAACCAAAATTCGCTCACGAGGAAATATCTGACAAACCCAGATGGAGGGACATTCTTCCGAACAACTGGACCGAACCCTTTAAAAATGTCCATGTCATGGGGTGCCTGGGTTAAGCCAGAGGGTTAAGCCTCTGCCTTCAGCTCAGGTCGTGGTCTCAGGGTCCTGGGATCAAGCCCTGAATCGGGCTCCCGGCCTGGCAGGGAGCCTGCTTCCTCCTCTCTCTCTCTCTGCCTGCCTCTCTGCCTACTTGTGATCTCTCTCTCTGTGTCAAGTTAAAAAAAAAAGTCCATGTCATGAAAGACAAAGCTGAGGGGTGCCTGGGTGGCTCAGTCGTTAAGTGTCTGCTTTCAGCTCAGGTCATGATCCCAGGATTCTGGGATGGAGCCCCACATCAGGCTCCCTGCTCAGCGGGAAGCCTGCTTCTCCCTCTCCCACTCCCCCTGCTTGTGTTCCCTCTCTTGCTGTGTCTGTCTCTGTCAAATAAATAAATAAAATCTAAAAAAAAAAAAAAAAAAAAAAAAGCAAAGTTGAGGAACTGTTAAAGGAACCTAAAGAGATACAATGATTTGATCATTGTACTATGGATATATGAGAGAATGTTGAGTTCTTTTTTTGGGTCAAGATTTTATTTAATTTGAGAGAGAGAGTGAGCAGGAGTGGAGAGAGCATCAGAGGGAGAGGGAGCGGCTGGGAGCCCAACTCGTGGCTCAATCCCAGGACCCCAGGATCATGACCTGAGCCGAAGGCAGATGCGTCACCAACGGAGCCACCCAGGTGCCCTGAGAATGCCACGTTCTTAGGAAATGGGTGCTGTGAAGTGTTTAAGAGTAAAGAAGCATGTTGTCTACGACCAACGGTTTAGGAAGGAGTAGGCAAACTTTTTTTTGGCAGAAAGGCTAGGTAATGAGGATCCTAGATTTTGGCGGGCCATATGGTCTGTATCACAACTACTCGCTGTGCTTCCGCAGCACCAGAGTGTCCTCGGCCATATGCAAACGAACGGGTGTGGCTGTGCTCCAATGAAGTTTATTTACGGATTCTGAAATTTCAACTTCATGGACTTCTCATGCATCCTGAAATATTCTTTTGATTTTTTTCTTTTTCCCCAGCCAGGCAAAAACCGTTCCTAGCTTACTGCATGCAAAATCTGGTGGCTGGAGATTTGGCCTGTGGATTGTAGTTCACTGTTTCCTGATATAGACCAAGAACACACACACACACACACACACACACACACACACACACACACACACGATAAAGCAAATATGTATGGCATAACGCCAACAGTTAGTGAATCTGGGTGAAGGGTAGGGGGGAGGTTCTTTGTATTCCTACAATTCTTTAGCAAGGTTGAAAGTATTTAAAAAGAGAAAGTTAGGGGCGCCTGGGTGGCTCAGTGGGTTGAAGCCTCTGCCTTCGGCTCAGGTCATGATTCCAGGATTCTGGGATCGAGCCCCGCATCAGGCTTTCTGCTTAGCAGGGAGCCTGCTTCCCCCTCTTTCTCTGCCTGCCTCTCTGCCTACTTGTGATTTCTGCCTGTCAAATAAATAAATAAAATCTTAAAAAAAGAGAGAGAGAGAGAAAGTTACGTAAAAGACATGATTTTCCTCTCCGGGGACCCGGGAAGGAGAGAGTGAGGGTGCTGTCCCTCTCATCTCGGGTTCAGGGGAAACTTGCTCACAGTGTTCTTTGATGTTGCTCCTAATTGTTACCTGTTCACTTCATTGCCTTTGATTCTTTATTTTCTGGCTTGACTGTCCTATTTAGAGACCCCGCTTGGCAGATGTCTGGAGACCCGGTTTAGGCTCTGGCCTCATCCTTTGACTATCCCCTTTTTCTCTCCCTTGGTAAATACATTTCTCCCCACCCAAGAAAACAGACACTTTAAATATGTTCATTGGGTTATTGTTTTTTTTTTAAAGATTTTATTTATTTATTTGTCAGAGAGAGAGAGAGGGAGAGAGAGCAAGCACAGGCAGACAGAATGGCAGGCAGAGGCAGAGGGAGAAGCAGGCTCCCTGATGAGCAAGGAGCCCGATGTGGGACTCGATCCCAGGATACTGGGATCATGACCTGAGCCGAAGGCAGCTGCTTAACCAACTGAGCCACCCAGGCGTCCCTGGGTTATTGTTTTTAATTTCACGGTCCCTGTCCTTCATATTGTTTCCTCCAAATTGTTGGTGCTTGTCATAGATTATCAGAACACTGCGGGGAAGGGCTTGTTTCTGAGCATACGGCGGAAGGTTGTTGGAGTTGTGCTGGGACAGCAAGACTGAGAAGTTAAGTTAATGTGTTCATTCTCCTTGCCTTGAGGTGAAGTCTCTTGTATTGCCTCAGGCCTTGCGGTCCTGAGTGGTTATTTCCGGAGCCTGGGGTAGGGAGGGGGGGCTCTAAGGGAAGAGGTGTGTCCTTTTCTTAGTTCGCTTAGCAAAAGCTCTCTTCATTGCCAGGATCCGAAACCCAACTCAGACTGGCCTAAGTGAAAAGGAGTCTATGCATCACATCACCAGGAGCATTACATTCAGACCTGGTTAGATCTAAGGGCTCAGTTGATGGTGAGAATTCTGTCCCGTACTGCATTGCAATTCTGTTTTCCTGTTTGGCTTCATTGGCTCAGCAGCCCCGGGTGTTCCTTCTCCCAGATTAGCAAACCCAGAAGAAGGAGGGCATTTCTAAACCAATACGTCTAAACCAGAGTCCCAGGGCTGACTCTCATTGGCCCAGCTTGAGCCATGTGTCTACTGCCTCTGAACCAATCAGTGGCTAGGGCATTGGAGGATACTGATTGGCCAGGCCAGTGATCCAGATCACATGACTGCTGTTGACGTGGAGACTCTTGACTCCACTCAAACCACCTGGACCAAGTAGAGGTTGACAAGAGGTTGCCTCTCAGAGGCATAGTTGGCTGCTGTTCCTATTAGGAAGGATGGAACCTGGGTAGGAAAAATCCATGAGTTCCTTACAGAAGTGCTGTGCTGTGCTACGTTCTCCAATTCCCGTCCTAGTTGTCTAAGCCACCTCTCTGATCGTAGTAGTTGTATCATCTTAGCTCTCAAACCGACTTCCACAGTCATGTCCGGCTGTGCAAAACCACCCACTCACACTCTCCCGTACACCCTGCTCGGGCCCCTCCATCCCTCAGGAAACCCACAGGATCTACAAGCAGAAGCTGGAGGAGCTGACCTCGCTCCAGACTTTGTGTAGTGGCTCCATCAACAAGCAGAAGACGCGCCTGAAGGACTTGAAGCACACACTCCAGAGGTAGGCGAGGCTGAGCTCCTTGGGTTTTAAGGGACAGAAACCTAGCTCAAAGCTGGCTGAAGCAGAGAATGGAAATTTTAATGGAAAAAAACCAGGAGTAGCTTCAGACATCACTGGATCCTGGGGTCAAAAGATGTTTTTAGGAATCTGTTTTTTCCCCCCTTTCTAAATTCTGCCTTCCTCTAGATTGGCTTCACGCTCAGGCTGACTGCCCCCTTATGGTCACTGAGATGGCCGCCAGCAGTGCCCAACTTACATCTTCCAGATTTAAGTCCTCCAGCCTTCCTTCCTCTTGGTTGGGTTACCCCAGGAGAATAACTTGTTTTTCAGTAAAAGTTCTGGGTGTGATCCTAATTGTCTGGAATTGGTCACGTGTTCATTTGTGAACCAATCACTGAGACTCTGGTTAGGCAGTACTGAGTCATGTGCTCAGTTCACGGACCTGGGGGACGGAAGAGCCTTACTGGAACCATATGGAGGGGGAAAGAGGATGAGAGGTAGTTTCCCGGAGGAAAGTTGCTGTAGGTGGTAGGAGGTCTGGGATTCCCAGGGGGAAATACTTAAGCTCATGACAGTTCAGTTCTTGAGGCCTAGATCATATGTTCACCTCCCAGTCCTCATGTCTTCATGGTTTGGAAAGTGCTTTCATTCCCCCACAGGTGAAGGAGTCCAGTGGGTGCTGTGATCCCCAGGCAGGCAAGGAGACTGATTGAGGTTGTAAGAAGCATCGAGATAGCAAGATGGGAGGGCAGTGCCCAGAGCTCCCACATTCTTCCTCCAGTCTGAGTAACACCCCTGCTTCCCCTGTGCCCACATCTCTGACCGAACAGGTGCAGGAAGCGTGCCAGCCGGGAGGAGGCAGAGCTCATTCAGCAGATGAGTGCCAACATCAAGGAGCGGCAGAACGTCTTCTTCGACATGGAGGCCTACCTGCCCAAGAAGAATGGGTAGGAGCTGGGAGCTTGTTGGACCCCTGCTGCGGGCAGATGCCCAGGCCTAGCATACCTGGTCTGGTGACTCCCATCTCCCTGCGAGGGCTTGAGGTTGAGGGGAAAGGAGGGAAGCAAGGGTAGGAAAGAGAAGGAGGCTTCCTCATACATTCCCCCATGGAACAGGAGGGGATCTCAGGAGGCCTTTTGTGAGGAACCACATACAAGATCTGGTTTCCGGCACCTGCTGCATGCCTGATGTCACTCGAGGTGAAGAGGAAAGATGTTTTCTCCCAAAGAACAAACATTTATTTTATTTTATTTAAGATTTTATTTATTTATTTGACAGAGACAAAGATCACCAGTAGGCAGAGAGGCAGGCGGAGAGAGAGGGGGAAGCAGGCTCCCTGCTGAGCAGAGCGCCCGATGTGGGGCTTGATCCCAGAGATCATGACCTGAGCCAAAGGCAGAGGCTTAACCCACTGAGCCACCCAGGCGCCCCCACTGATTTTATTTTTATTTTAAATTCCAGGATTGTTAACAAATAGTATCGTGTTAGTTTCAGGTGTACAACAGAGTGATTCAGGACTTCCATACGTCACCCAGTGCTCATCTCAACAAGGGCACTCTGTCATCCCCATCACCTAGTTCACTCCTCCTGCGCCCCCTCCCTTCTGGTAACCATCAGTTCTCTGCACTTAAGAGTGTGTTTGTTGGTTTCTCTCTCTCTCTCTCTTTTTTCTTTTTTCCTTTGAGAACAAACATGTATCGAGTGCCTGCTATATGAATTGTCTTGAATTGTCTATAGCTTGGTGAGTCAGACCCAGGTATCCAAATTCTACAAGGTTCAAAGACATTGTGGGAGGGGGTGTTCTGCTCAGGCGGCTCAGCCCAGGTTTGGATGTGAACACTCTTCCTCCTTTGGAGAAGTCCATTTCAGGTGACATGACTGCCACCTGTTCCAGAGTGAGATCGGACAGTGTTGTATCAAAACCTGAGGTGGGCTGCTAAGTGTACTCCCATCACTTCCCTGTGGCCCTTTCTCCCAGTTTTGCCTAAGGGCTGAATCAGAGCCCCTGGTCAGGAGGCTTACTAGCTCTTTTACACTAGAAGCCATTCCTCTTGGCTTCTCCTCTTTTGCCACAGGAAGAACTCCCTGAGTTGGGTGGTGATAATTTTCCATAGAATGAAACCCCATGACCCTTTTTTACAGGCAGCCCAGGTCCGCTTTCCCAGCTCCAGCCTCCTCAGTCCTCTGCGTATTTTGTGACAGTTGGAAATCTTTGGATTACAAATGACAGAAAACCCAACTCAGAGTGCTTACAAAAAAATGGGCAATTTATTGGCTCATGTAACCTCAATGAGGTGCAGATGTGGCTGCAGGTCTGGCTGGATCCTGCTGCTCAAATGATACTGTTAGGCTCTGTCTCTCCATGAGCTTTCCTTTTATTCCCTTTGCCATGTGTGTCTTGCTCTTAGGGAGACTTTCTCTACAAGCTGGCCCCAGGCGCTCTGGGTTTGCATTCTGCCAGCTTAGCAATTCCAGCAGAGAAAGCCTCTTTGTTTCTTTGTAGTTCTGGGAAAAGTCCCAGGACTGAGTCTCATTGGCCTGAGACCATTGTGTCACATGACCATCATTGACCCAATCAGGAGGATGCAGTGCTTTGGTTGGCTAAGGCTGGGTCATATGCTTTACCCCGGGACCTGGAGGGGAAAAGAGATTCTCCGAAGGGAAATGGCACTGCTCTTTCAGGAAGTAGGGACTGTATCTCTAGGCAGGAGGGGAAAAAATTGATGTTCTTTTTATATCTCTGTTCCAGTTACATCAGACCAGAAATGCCCCTAGAATTTATTCAGAGCTAGAAAGAAGACTTTTCTGTTTGCTTTTCTCCTCTCAGCCTTCTACTCACCCTTCAAAGCCCAGTTCAAATGTTACCAACTTGGTGAAGCCTTTCCAAAGACCCCTCCTCCCTCTGTAGAATTAAACCCTTCCTCCCCTGAGATTTTGTAACTCTTTACTTGCATCTTTATTAGTGCCATTAGAGTACGGGCTATCGTAACAAAAGTCCAGTGATACGGGGGCTCAAACAAGGGGGAGGTTTCTCTTCTCATACACAGCAGTCCAGAGCTGAGGGGACCAAGAGTGGTGGGCTCATGGGGTCATCTGAGGACTCAGGGTGCTTCCATCTCCAGCTCGCTGGTTCACCACCCTTCAGGGAATTGTTCTCACCTACGAGGCCAAAGCTGGCTCTCACCGTCACATCTCCAGGGAGCGGAGGGCAAGCAGATACCTTTTAGAAAAAAAAAGTTTGCTGTTTCCTGGGGAAGCCAAAAACACACTTATTCTATAATCTAGAAATTCCACTCCTGTCTCTGTAGCCAATGGAAATGCGTGCTTCTGGCCTCCAGTAGACATATATAAGAAGGTCAACAGCAAAGAATCCAGGCACAAAAGGTCCCATGTTGCCAGAGTCTTTTTTTAAGTGAAATGTCCAGAATAGGTAAATCCATACATGTGCAATAGATAGTGGTTGCCAGGTGCTGTGGAGGGCGGAAAGGGAGTGACTGCTGATGGATATGGGCTTTCTTTCGGGATGACAAAAATGGTCTAGAATTGGGGCGCCTGGGTGGCTCAGTGGGTTAAAGCCTCTGCCTTCGGCTCAGGTCGTGATCCCAGGGTCCTGGGATCAAGTCCCGAATTGGGCTCTCTGCTCGGCAGGGAGCCTGCTTCTCCGTCTCTCTCTGCCTGCCTCTTTGCCTACTTGTGATCTCTGTCTGTAAAATAAATAAATAAAATCTTAAAAAAAAAAGGTATAGAATTAAGTAATGGTGATGTTGCTGTACAATGTTGTGAATATACTGGAAACCATGAAGTTGTGTGCTTGAAAAGGGTGATGTTACAGGGATGCCTGGTGGGCTTAGTCGGAAGAGGATGCAACTTTTGATCCTCAGGGTTGTTAGTTTGAATCCCATGAGGGGTGTAGAGATCACTTAAATAAATAAATAAAACATCTTTTTTTTTTTTTTTTTAAAGGATGATGTTATGGTATGTGAATTACATCTCAGTTTGGAAAAAAAAAAAAAAAGAAAGAAAGTTGTTCACAGCAGTGTATTTCTATTAGCCAAAAACTGAAGACAACTTAAGCGTGTATTGGTAGTAGAATGAATAAATAAGTTGCGGGGTGTCCATTCAGGGGAACACTATACACAGACAACATGGGTGAACCTCCCAGACATAGTATTGAGGGAAAGAAGCCAGGCATAAAATATACTATAGGTATACCTATAAATATACTGAAGGTTATACTTTAGTTTTAAAAAAGAACCCTTTCTGGGGCACCTGGGTGGCCCAGTGGGTTAAAGCCTCTGCCTTTCGCTCAGGTCATGATCTCAGGGTCCTGGGATCGAGCCCCACATCGGGCTCTCTGCTCAGCGAGGAGCCTGCTTCCCCCTCTCTCTCTGCCTGCCTCTCTGCCTACTTGTGATCTCTGTCTGTTAAATAAATAAACAAAATCTTAAAAAAAAAAAAAAGAACCCTTTTTAAATTGACCTAGAGATTGTACACATGCCATCACCTCATTGGCTGGAACTCAGTCACATGCTCACACGAGCTGCATGGGAGCCTGGGAAATATGGTCTCTAAGCCAGCTAAGATGGGGGGAAATGGTTTAGTCATGACTGCATGTGTCACAGTTGTCTCATTCTCTAGTTAGTCTTTATTCTCCATGTGAGAATTTTACTGCTGAGTTTAGCACGCTATTTTCTAACATCGGTGCTCAAGGCATGCTTATTGTTTGAATGTTTTTGGTTGGGGCCCATTCCTAGGGCTGGTAAGAAATGAGTCAGCCCTCACCAGCCCTTTCCTTCCAGGCTCTACTTAAATCTCGTCCTTGGCAATGTGAATGTGACCCTTCTCAGCAACCAGGCCAAGTAAGTATCTCAGACCCCCGCCTGACTTTAGGGAATCCAGGAATTTTGCCCTTTCAACTTAGAAGAAATGAACTAGCTAGAATTTTTGTGTAAATAAAAAAAAAATTTATAGTATGGGCTGTGGCCCTTGGTCTTTCTGACACTCTCCTGCTCAGTGAGGAGACCACCTTGGGAGTGTTCCTTCCTTCTTTTTGTGCACTCAGTACGTCGGGTGAGCAGAACTGCCACTCTCCCATGAGAAACAGTCCCTGCTCCGTTCCACCCTCATCACACACGGTTCTCCTGGGAAGCAGGCAGTGCTGTCCACCTGAAATCAGTCAGTTCCAGGGGCGGTCGAGCTGTGGCGTTTCTGCTGCCGTAGCTGATTAGGGAGGAGCCCTTCTCCACCCCCTTCCCATCCCCATAACCAGCCCAGAGACCTACCCCAGGAGCCCAGGGACGTGGGAAGCTTTGCCCATCGGTCTTCTTTCTCTCATTGACCATCACCATTCATTCAAGGCCAGAGCTTTCCTTTAGTGGGATCACGAGGTTCTTGTGGGCAGTGGCTGGTGGTAGGCAGAGTATCTGATGGTGCCGAGGATTGTGTCCCCAGACGGGATATAGTTATATTACTGTAACTATAGTAATAGTTACATGACCTTTCCTGGGGGTGTCTATCACTGCAGATTTGCTTACAAGGATGAGTATGAGAAGTTCAAGCTCTACCTGACCATCATCCTGCTCCTAGGGGCTGTGGCCTGTCGATTTGTCCTTCACTACAGGTAACAGGAAACATGGTGGTGTGTGTAGGTTTGGCGGGGGCTTGGGGGGGCTCTCTCCTGCGTCTGCTGTGTTTGGGCGATTGTAGGTAGAGAAGAGCCTTTTCTCATGCAGAACAGCAGTCCTGTCTACTCGACATCCATCCAACAAATACCTACTGAACCACTACTGGAGAGACCTTATAACCAGGAGTTAGGAAAGAGCCTAGTGGCACACCCACACAATGGAATATTATTCCGGTGACGAGTAGGAATACAGTAGTGACACATGCTACAACATATGCCTGACAACATTATGTTCGGTGAAAGAAGCCAGTCACATATTGTATGATTCCACTTTTATGAAATTTCCAGAACAGGTGAATCGATAGAGGCAGAAAGCAGATTAGTGGTCAGGAGCTGGGTGGGGGTGGGGGAGGGTGTGGGTGCTGTTGATGAGGAAGGGGTTTCTTTTGGAGTGAAGAGAATGTTCCAGAATTAGATAGAGACAATGAATGTATAGCTCTGTGAATATACTAAAAAGTAATGAATTAGGCACTTTGAGAGGGTGAATTTTATGGTATGTGAATTATGTATCAGTTATAAAAAGAGAAAGCAAGAAAAAAGGAAAGGAAGAAGGGAAGGAAGAAAGAGAAAAAAGAAAAAAAGCCTGCCTGGGTTTGAATCCTGGCTTTGGGACTGATTGGCTGTTACCATGAGCAGGTTCCCTCCGGGAGCCTCAGTCTCCCCATCTTTAAAACGGGGGTGACACCAGGCTTTGTTAGCACTGCATGCGGAGGGCTCTGCCGGGCGCCAGCGGTGCTGGGGGGAGAGAGCGCCAGCCGCTGCTTCTGGAGCAGGAAGAAGCCACGCGGCTCTGAGAGGCTGAAGGCCAGTGCCTCATGGGGTTTCATTCCTCCCCCAGCCCTGGGTTTTGTGCCTTGAGGGGAGGCAGCCGAGTACAGCTTGGGCATCTGGCCCTTGTGTCGGGCTTATTTGCTGGCAAGGGCTTGGCTGGGAGTCCGGTTTCTGGCCTGGCCACTTGAATGTCCGGACAAAGGCTCTTTTAGGTCCTGGGCCCGTGCCTGCCTGCTGCCTCGGGCTGGCCCGTTTCCCCAGAGGCTAAAGGCTGCACACATCGGCACTGCCTGCTCACATGCCCCTCTGGAAGGGAGAGACGTTCTCGATGTGCAGCCAGATTCCCTGGCGCTGGCACATCTGGGGCCCTCAAAGGGCAAACCTGTGGTTGGTTTTAAAGTTCAGCGAGGGCCTGGCTGTCTCAGTTTCTCCCCATCCCTTTCTGTATTCATTTCCCGGGGCTCGTATAACAAAGCACCACAAACTGGTAGGCTTGGGACAACAGAAATCTATTCTCACACAGTGCTAGAGGCCAGAAGTCTGAAATCAAGGTGTTGGTGGGACCATGCTCACTCTGAAGGCTATAGGGGAAGGTCCCGTCTTGCCTCTTCCAGTCTGAGGGCTGCCGGCTTCCTTGGCCTTCCTCGGCTTAAAGCTGCTTCCCGCCACTCTCAGCCTCCTGTGCCTCAATCTTGTCACGTAGCCCCCTTCCCTGTGTGTCCCTGTGTTTGTCTCATGGCCTTCTCGGGAGGACACCAGTCTTTGGATTCAGGGCCTACCCTAACCTGTTATGACCTTGTCTTAACTAATTAAATTTGCAAAGACACTGTTTCCAAATGTCATATTCTGAGGTCCTGGGTGGACGTGAATTTTGAGGCAACACTAGTATACCTTCCGTGGGTTAAAAATAGGATGGGGGAAGGGGGCTGGACAGGCAGCTCCTCTCTGTTCTGCCTTCAGGGAAGTCTGTCCTGCTGTTTGACCTTGGGCAAATGACCTAACCTCTCCCCACCTGGGTTTCTTCACCCACAAAATGAGGGTAACAGGAGCTACTTGGTAGCTGAGGATGGCTGAGAGGACTGGATAGGTTCTATTTGCAGTCTTTATTTTTTATTTTATTTTTTTAGATTTTATTTATTTATTTGACAGAGAGAGAGAGAGATCCTAAGTAGGCAGAGGGGGCTGGGAAGCAGGCTCCCTCCTGGGCAGAGAGCCCGATGTGGGGCTCGATCCCAGGACCCTGGGATCATGACCTGAGCCGAAGGCAGAGGCTTAACCCACGGAGCCACCCAGGTGTCCCTATTTGCAGTGTTTACAGTAGTGCCTGGCACATAAGTCACGTTATGATCACTGCCAGCATTTTGCGCTAAGGCTGGGCAGGCTGGAAGAGACCGCCGCTTAATATCCAGTGCCTCCAAGGAGCAGGATTCTCTTTCCTTACTCTTGCCCTCTTGGGATGGTTTCCTTGCTGGAGGCCCCACAGAAAGGCCCTTCTACGGTGGGTTCTAGGTCCAGGTCTGCCTCTCACAGATTGTGTGACCTTGAGTAGAGCCCTTGCTCTCTCTCCGTCTGCTTCCTGTCTTTCCCGTGGCCAGAAGACATCTGCCCATGCTGTCTGGTCCTTGGGAGGCTTTGGTGAGGCTGCTGGAGAGTGCGATGCCTCTTTCTTCTGCCTTCAGGCCTAGAGGCTGGATCTAGTTAGTACTGTTCTCCATCAGGATTTGGTTTTGAAGCTGCAGGAAAAAGGTGGTTGGAGTTAAGCTCAGGTTAGTTGGGGCTTGGTTTTGGATCACTCCAGGCAGCTTGCTTCCTCTCTCTGGGCCTCAGTGTCCTCATCTGTAAAATGGGAAGTTGTCCTGTCTTGTTGTATGTTCCCCCAGAGGCAACCCCAAGACAAGCCAGTAGTTTCTTTCAGAGGTAATCCCAGGAAACATTGGTAGGGGAATGGGAAGTGAGACAGGAGGGGCTCCCCTGTAGGCATCTGGAGAACTGGGGGACAGCATGGACCATGCCTCAGTTACCCACTTGAGGGGCGAGGGAGCAAGGGTGTTTATCTTCTAGCTGTTGTTGGTTGGGGGAGTTGAGGACCACTTCCAAAGGGCATCAGTTCCCCCTGGCCCCGACCTGCCTCTCACAGCCGCGGGGGCCTGAGAAAGCCAGGCGTGCCGGGAACGGCAGGGTCTGGCTGTCGGGAGCTCTGTCGATGGGTGCAGATGTGGTTAAGTGCATCTGCCACAGGAAGCCGTCCTGTAGGGTTGGACGAGGATTCAGAGAGATTGTCCACGTGAAATGCCTGCGGCGTTGCAAGTTCCCGGTAATTAGAGCTGGCCTGGCGTGGCCCGACTCGTGGTCCTGAAGAGGTGCGTGTTCTAATCCCCAGAATCTGCAAATGTGTGACCTTGCTTGGCACAACGTCTCTGCAGATAGATTAAGTGAAGGAATTTGAGAAGAGATTATCCTGGATTATTTAGTAAATCCAGGGATCCTTACAAGAGGGAGGTTTGAGGGTCAGAGTCGGAGAAGGAAACGTGATGCCACGAAACAAGGAATGCAGGAGTGTCTAGAAGCCGGCACAGGTCAGCAAGGGCACTCTCCCCGAGAGCCTCCGGAAGGAACCCAGCCCTCCCCATTTCAGACTTCTGACCTCCAGAACTGTAAGAGACTAAATGTGTGTTGCTTTCAGACACTAAGTCTTTTGTTACAGCTGCAACAGGGAGCTCATACATTCTGGCTGAGGAGGCTGGGGCCGGCACCTCAAGCATTTCCCTGAAGTGCTGGGGCCATAAAACCTTACTTTTATTCCCCTCTTTACGGAGAAGGTGTAGGAAAGGCCCAGCGAGAAACATCCTGGTAACCACGACTCACGACTCATTATTGGGCCTGCCTCCTGCCTGAAGGGGAGCTCGGAAGTCGGTGTCTGAGTGACCCTCTGCCCTCGGGAGGCCCTCCCCACCCCAACACCCCATTCAAGTCAAGTAGGCTTTTAATTTCCTCAGAACTCAACATCTGAGACTCACTTCTCAGGCTTCGGGTACTCTGTGATCCTTCCCAAAGTTACAACAGGGAATGCAGGGAGCCCTTCCTATGCCCCAGGCCCCGTTCCCCATGCTTCCTGGGTTAAACTCCAGCCTACACGGGAGCTGCTCTCACTCTCCCCGCTTCAGTGCAAGAGTGATCGTACGGGAGAATCACCGACTTGCCCTTCATCCCACAGCTCGGAAGAGGCAGAGCTGGGATTTGAACTCAGGTCCTGTGCTTCCAGAGTCCATTCCTGGCCCTCCCAGGGCGATGGTTCCCGGCCCTCCACAGGCGATGGCTCAGGAGGGCTTGGGGTTGAAAGTCTGTCATCTGTGACCACAGAACAGGGTGACATCGCTTAAAAGCCAACCTTCCAACCTTCGGCTCTTACTGTTTGAGTCATACTTTTCCATTTCCCTCCCAGGGTTATTGTAGTTGTCCCAGTTCAGATATGGAAATGGAGGAGATGGGGAGTTTCTCCCTCCCCGGTGCAAGTGGATACCCCCCGCCCACAGTCGTGAAAGGATTTGTCTGGCACTGGAAAGGACAGAGGTGCTTCCCTTTGGGTTGGAAGCTAGAGCCTCCATTAGAGTCAGTGGTAAGGGAGGTTCCGAGGGGCCGTCTGTCATAGGCTCTGCCCCGGGACCCTTCACCGAGCCATACTCAGGTAGGGGGTTAGCCCGAGAATCTCACAGCAAAGCTGAGGCCGGGGCGGTGGTGGGGGGAGGTCTCTAGTGAGGTCACATGCCACGTGTCTGCCAGCTCTCCGCTCTGACCAGGGCACAACACCAGCTCCAGCCTCTCTGTGCTGTCCTAAGGCCTCTCTGCCCGGCTCTGGGCCACGAGGACTGCAGAGGAGGCAGGGGGTTCTTAATTCATCTTACAGACCATTCGGGCCATAAGAATTTTTTTGTGGGCACTGGGGTGGCTCAGTCGTTAAGCGTCTGCCTTTGGCTCGGGTCATGATCCCAGGGTCCTGGGATTGAGCCCCGCGTCGGGCTCTCTGCTCGGCAGGGAGCCTGCTTCCTCCTCTCTCTCTGCCTGCCTCTCTGCCTGCTTGTGATCTCTGTCTGTCAAATAAATAAATTAAAAAAAAAAAAAAGAATTCTTTTGTAAATGCAACAAAGTTTATAGATCTTTTAAGGGGAAGGAAGGGAATTGACGTTTGTAAATTACACTTACACTGTAGACAGTTTAAGACACTCAGTTTTCTGCTTGAAGTCCTCCTGTTGCCCTTGACCAAAAATTTTACATCAGACAGTAAGAACGTAGAAGGAACGAGGGTGTCCCAGTGCTCAGGGAAGGGGACAAAACCTCACCTAGAGCCTTAAAAGCAAGCAGGATCCTGGCAGAAAGGTGAGGAGGGGGATAGGCAGGCTAGGTGGCAGCCACGCTTACTCTGTCTTCTGCAGGATGGGGTGGGGGGTGGGGTTGTTCCCAGAGGCAGCCTGGTTTGCTGTTCTGTTGCCCTGTGGCGGGGGAGGGGGACGGGGGGGGGGGGTGGTAAGAGCCATCCCTGGTTCTTATGCCTGCGCTCCTCCCCGGGGCTGTTTCTTTCCACCAGGGTGACGGACGAAGTTTTTAACTTCCTGCTGGTGTGGTATTACTGCACCCTGACAATTCGAGAAAGTATTCTCATCAGCAATGGCTCAAGGTAATTGGGGGTCCGGCTTTGAGGGGGGCATTGGGGGAGCCAAAGGGAGGTCTGTCATGGAAGGGATGCATGTGAGAGCTGGCACCCTTAGCCCATATTTCCTTCCTCCGGGGAGGGGCAGGGTGTCCCTGACTGCCCCAGGGTGGAGGAAAACCATGTCTGCTGCTGTGGGGCCACCTTCCGTGGTATCCTGCTTACCAAGAACTCTAACTCAGAGAGGTTTAACACAACAGAAAATTGGTTTTCTCCTCTCAAGGAACAGGTCTGCTGGGACTGACTTCAGGTCAGGCTTAATCCAGGTGTTTAAACAATGGCGTCAGGATCCACTTTCTCTCCATCCCTCACTTCTGCCTTCTGTGATGCTATCTTTATTCTCAGGCTCCATGCAAAGGCATCCCGGAGCTCTGGGCCCACGTCTTTTATTTCTAACGTTCACAGCAAAATAGGGCACCTTGCTGTTTTCCAAGAGTCTCACTGGGTCCCATTGGCACCTGCTGAATCCTGTGCCTGTCTCTGAACCAATCACTGTGGTCAGAGAATGCGTGGCTCTGATTGGTCAGGCTTGAGCCTCTTGCCCGCCCCTGCAGGCCACCATCAGAAGCCTAGGAGCTGAGTGTCAAGGGGACAGTGGGTGGGTTCCCAGAGGGAAATTGGGATAGTGTCATTAGAAGGATGAATGGATTCATGGTGGTGAAGGTGGTCCCCCACAGGGAGATGGGGAGGATGGAGGACAGGTAGAGAGGGTCTTGGTTCAAACCTGCCTTGTTACCTAGGCAGTGCTAAGGAGAAAGACAGCCAAGCTGGGAATGAGGATTCCTGAGTTCTAGTCCCACGGCAGTTGCTGAGTGGCTCTGTGGCTCTGGGCAACTGAAGTCCCCTCCCTGGGCTATTTCACAGCCCCATGGGGACATGTGCCTCAGCATTACTGAGTGAATGGAGGCACAGTTGGGGGGGTCCCCACCTCTGAGGGGCTGCAAATACGAGGAGCCCTGCTCTTTTGTCACTCTCCTTCCTACTCCACCTGTCTCTGAGCTGAGAGTCTTGGGGCCCAATTAAGACCCATGATTTGCCACCTGTGGGACCCATTTTCCATACATCTGATTTCCTTTCCGGGGTAAGCCGTTTCTTCTCTGTGTACCATGCTTGTCCCTGTTTTTCCCTGAAACGGAAGGTAACAACCTCCCAGCCCCTCCCTGCTTCCTCCTCTTGGGCGCTAGTAAGGAACGTCATGAACTGTGTATTTAAGATTGGGGGTGTCTGCAAACCCCTAAATAATTTGCCACCTTTTCACTTTTCTGCCCAGTGGTCTCTTATGGCAGATCCCTGCCCTGCCGGGCCTTAACCTGAAGGTAGAGCCCAGAGGTAAGGACCAGGGGCCCAGCAATTTTTTAGGTTTGCAGCCCCGTAGCATGTAGCCCGTTAGAAAAGATCAGTGTTTCTCAAACAGCACTTATTTGTGACCTATCCTCGCCATTTTTGCCTTTTCCGTGTATCACCCGGATGATAATTTTCAACATTCTAAATCAACCTCCCTTTTTTTTTCTTTTTAACTTAAGTAAATACTAGTTTATTTTAAAAGGAAATTTTCTTTCATCACTGTACGTGGAAAGCCAGCATCAGTTGCAGGAAAGAGGAAGTAGTATAAAAATCTTTTGTTTTCCTTGTATAACGTATTGAAGTCAATTATTCTCGCTTCCGGGAGATTCTGAGCCTGAGGCCTGCTGTCTCTCCGTGTATGTACTTGTGTATAAAAAAGGAGATTAGCGGGCCTTGAGAGGCATTAAAGAGACTCCTTGACTTAATCGGGAGACCAAAGAACTGAACAGATGACCTCTCGCCACCTGGTCCAGTGTCACCTACACTTGAGTGTCATCTAAAACTTGGTGGTGCGCACCCCATGCTTTGGGAAACACTGAAGTAGAAAATCTTACCAAGGAAATAACATTCATAGTCTTCCTTAATTTTACTGAATAGTATCTTTCTGCTTTTGGGTGTCGTTGGAGGGGAGCCAGGGTGGCAGGTAGTGGGGAGAGAGGGCCAGGGCAAATGGCAAGGCCTCCTTGTCATAAATTCTCTACCTGTCCCCATGGGCTTGCTGTCAGTCTTACAGTTTCATCCTTCTGATGGATTCGTATTGAGTCTTCAGAGGCATGCCACATCTCTAACAATCACTAACACTTCAGTAAGAGTTACTAAAGCTTACTTACTTTATTAAGAGTTACTCTGGTCAGCTCTTTATCTAGTGTGACGGGCTGTGTGGCGGGGGCAGCTGTGTGGGGGGCAGTGTGTGGTGTGATTACTAGAGGGAAGGGAACAGGACTGAGTGGAGGTCCCTGCAAGTGTGGGGCACACCAGGAAAGTGAGGAGGAGGACATGGCCCTGGAGGTAGGGTAGAAGTGAAGTTCCAAAGCCAGACCTCATGTGCCTAACACTTCAGCCTATATCTGAAGTTGTAATTGTACTGTTCCTCTGGGCCTGTCTGCCTGCTTTGGCCTGGGGCAGGGGTTTGGATGTGGTCGGGGCTGGGGTCTGGAATGGGTGGGGTGGGCTTGGTGCTTTATCTTCTGGAAGGACTGGAAGCTGTAGCTCATTAGCTCAATGCAATAAGCAAATCAAGTTCCCTTGGAAATCCTGCAAATGAGGGAAACTGCCTGATAGGAGTAAATATGAAAGGGGAACATATATAGGCATACCTTGTCTAATTGCACTATGCAGGTAGTGTGTGTGTGTGTGTGTGTGTGTGTGTGTGTTTTACAAATTAAGTGTTTGTGACAACCTCATGTACAGCATGTCTGTTGGCACCATTTTCCCAACAGCATTTGCTCATTTTGTGTCTCTGTCACATTTTGATAATTCTTGCAGTATTTCACACTTCTTCATTATTATTATATTTGTTATGATGATCTGAAATCAGTGATTACAATTTGCTGAAAGCCCAGATGATGGTTAGCATTTTTAGCACTATTTTTTTTTTTAATTAAGGTATATACATTGTTCTTCTAGACCTGCTATTTCACACTTACTAGACTACCGTATAGTGTAAACGTAACTTTGAGAGGCACTGGAAAACCAGAAACTTCACTCGACTCGCTTTATCGTGACATTTGCTTTATTCCCTGAAAGGGAAGCCACAATATCTCTAAAGTGTACCTGTAGATCAATGGTTCAAGGAGGTGCAAAGGGCTCACACAGTGCTAACCGTCCTCCACCCTGATCTCTTGCCCCCACTTGGAAGCACTGGCAGCCCGGACCACCACCCTGCCAGACTGACAATCTCACGGGAAAGAGCTCTTTCCTTCGCAGGTTGAGTTGTAATTTTGACACAAGATTTCTGATTGGCTCGGATGAGATCACATGCTCATTCCTGAGCCAATCAGTGTGGCTGGGGGAGGGGATGCAGAGCCCTGGTTGGCTGGCTCTGAGTCACGTGCCCAGTTATATCACTCCCGCTCCCCCTCGGCCACCCAGACTGAGTGAGGTGGTTCACCCAAAGAAAGGCCTGGCGTGCAACCAGAACGTAGGGGGTGGAGTGGGGGTGGGGTGATTGACAGAGAGGCAAAACAGCAGATGTCCTCTGCAGTTAGTTCTGGGCCAGAATAAATAATGAATCAGGGATCGTGTTAGCTTTTCTGGCCAGCCAGCCCATGGGAGCCTGCTTCCAACTGGCTGTTAGAGGGGCCTTTCCTGGGATAAAGCCGTGTAGGGGCGGCCAGGAGGGAGGGATCCTCAGTGTGGAAGCCATTCCCCCACCTGCCACGTGACCCGAAGCTCAAAGCCAGAAACAGTCTGTGGCTGCTGGTGCCTATGAGTGGTGCCCACGTGGCTAAGGTGTCCCTAAAGGAGGGCCATGGTATGCTCGGGCACAATTCCCAGATAGCAGGCCGTGCTATTCCTACACCGTAGCTGTGTGTACCACTCTTAATCGGTTGTCTGCTGTCTGCTCATTACAATGCCCATAGGCCGTGCAGGCTGTATTTCCGTGGCAAAACAGGCCCAAAGAGTGACCACTAATGGGTCCAGGTTTCTTTTGGGGTGATAAAAATGTCCTAAAATTTGAGAGTGCTCATGGTTGTACAACTGTGTGAATGTACTAAAAACCGTTGACGTGTATAATTTAAATGGGGGAATTGTATGACATTTGAATCAAGTGACAGTAATACAGTTGCATAAACGTGCACAAAATCAGCTCAGCACCCTGGAGTGTGCAGATGGCTGAGGGGCTCGTGAACGCCACGCCTCAACAACATACCAATTTTCACCCAATAAGACTGGCTGAAATTTTAAAGCTTGGAATCCAGCCCTGGTGAGGGTTTGAGGCACCCAGTTTGTACCACCCAGTTCTTGGGAGGCAGGAGCCCCGCTGCTCTCAGGCTGTATTTGGCAAAGCAAACCATTGCCACATTGTATTCGTTGAGCTCTGAGACAGGGGCTGGAGGAGGCCAGCAGAGGCCAGAGACAGACTAAAGGACTTTGAAGGGTAAGGGTTTGAGGGTCCAGCTTTCAGCCTAGGCTGGGACATTGACATGGAGGACAGGGTGACAACGAGGCTCCCGCCCCTGCTGTGGAATGAGATCCCTCAGTTGGGGGAGTACCGGGTTCTGAAACCAGGGTTCCCACAGCTTCTGGACTGACACATGAAGTCCAGGGCTGGGTAAGGGCCTGCTGCCGATGGGGGAGTTGATGAGCCCAGGGCATGAGCTCCCGGGGAGAAAGTGCGTCTGGGATGCTGAGATGCTGTGTGGGCAGTCTGGCATTTCTCTGTGTCTGTGTGGGATAACAGGTAGCTATAGCTCCGGGAGAGCGTGAGTGTGTATGTGTGTGTGTGCACGTATGCTGTGTTAATTCAACACACTGAGCACCTGCTCGGAGCCAGGTGTCACAGATACACCGATGAAGAACATGGACAAGACCCCAGCTCTCCTGATGTTTACATGTGAGCGGGGAAGAGGGGTCAGAGAACAAACCGAGGGAAAGAAATGAATAATTTCAGATAGTGGTAAGCCCCATGAAGAAAATAAAACCGGGCAGTGTGATCCACATTGGGGCTTCCTGGCTGTTTTAGATAAGGTAGCCAGAGAAGGCCTTTCGGAGGAGGTGACAGTTGGTCCGAAACTTGAATTTGGACCAGGAGCCAGGCAGGCCAAGTTCTCAGAGCAGAGAGAACAGCAGTCCAAAGGCCCTGTTGGTCTGTGTGGGCTGCTGTGACAAATGACCACAGGCTGGGCGGCTGAAATGACAGAAATCTATTTTCTCACAATTCTGGAGCCTGGAAGTCCAAAATCAAGGTGCCAGCCCCAGTGGTTTCTCCTGAGGCCTCTCCTTGGCCTGCAGATGCCACCGTGTCTTTGGGGAGCCATTTATCTGTGAGCGTACCCACCCCTGGTGTCTGCCCCCTGCACAGACACCAGCCCTTTTGGGTTAGGGCCCACCCTTAGGACCTCATTTAACCTTACTTACCTCTTTAAAGTTCTTATCTCCAAATACAGCCAAATTCTAAGGTACTAGCCCTAAGGGGGTTAGGACTACAACATAGGAATTTGGGGGGCACACAGTTCTGCCTATAACAGGCCCTGAGATGGTAATGGGCTTGGCAGGTTCAAGGAGAGGACAGGAGACAGGGCTTGAAGTTGGGGTGTGGTGAGGGATGTGCTTTTAAGGTATCTGGAAGCCCCTAGAGGCCCAAGTGCTTCTTTGGGCCTTTTGACCAATCTGTGGGTGGTTTATGTGTGATCGTGCATCTCTGGAGGACAAAGGAAAGGGAAAAATCATGGCTTGGGCCTGTGTCATGGCTGGGGGCTGCAGAGTAGCCCATGCACTCAGTCTGGGAAGCAAGAGCCACCTGTGTTTCCCTCCCCACCTGAACCCCCTTTCCTTCTCTTATCTCCAAGAATTAAAGGCTGGTGGGTGTCTCACCACTACGTGTCCACGTTCCTCTCTGGAGTGATGCTGACCTGGTGAGTGTCTCATGGGGGCCCGTGAATGGGGAGCTGGTGGTGGCTGAGGGACACCTTTGAGACTCCTGGCATGGGCTGACTTTTAGGCCAAGAAGGAAAGCGTGAGCTTATAACCGGGCCACAGGGATCCCTCAAGCCAGCTGGGAGGTTTCTGGGGATGTCGCATTGGCCTGCCTGCTGGGACAAAGGTGACAGGGAGCAATGGACAGAAAGAATTAGAGGGATGAGGCTCCAAAGGAGACAGACGGAGAGAGTGGAGATCAGTGAGAACTTAGGCTTCAGAATGATGATACTGGCCCTCCTGCTTCTAGAACAGGATTAAAGCAATGACGAAAGTAATTGGGTCCAGCCCCAGGGACACTGGTGCTAAAGAAGGACAGAAATCAGGGACCTCCCTTTAATTTTAAAAGCTTTTCTTCTGAGGGCACCTGGCTGGTTCAGTTGTTGGACCATGTGACTCTTGATCTTGGGGTCGTGAGTTCAAACCCCACATTAGGTGTAGAGATTACTTAAATAATTTTTTTTTTTAATGAAAAGCTTTTCTTCTCTCTTGGCTGGAACGGAGAAGGGCAGGGATGAATGTCTGATTTTTTTTTTTTTTTTGAATGTCTGATTTCACAGCACACCTCACCTTTGCTTTCCCCCACTTTTCTGCAGGCCCAACGGACTGATTTATCAGAAGTTTCGTAATCAGTTTTTAGCGTTTTCCATTTTTCAGAGTGAGTGCCTCTTGCCTGGATTCAGGGGAGGGGGTACGGTTTCCGGTTTCCAGTTTCCAGGTCTTTCGCTCATGGAGGCCCCTTACCCTCTTCCCTTATGAGGGGTGTGTCTAGTGTTGAAGGGAGCTTGGGGTAGGGGACGGTCCCAGAAATCCAGCAAAGAGCTCTCTGCCCCCAGATCACCACCCAGTCCTGGGGGAGGGACAGCCTGATTATCCCCACCTTCAGGAACCCCCACTGCTGCCTTTTCTTCCCTGTGTCACAGCTGGGGACCAATGGTGACTTTCGGGATCTGAGTGGTGTTGGGGACACTACCTCAAAATGGAAATAAAGTATATGTTCTTTTTCTCATTTAAGAATAGCTCTAGATTGGGGCTCCTGGCTGACTTAGTCAGTAGAGCAAATGTCTCTTGATCTTAGGGTTGTAAGTTCAAGCCTCACATTGGGTATAGAGGTTGCTTAAAAATAAAATCTTAAAAAAAAAAAAAAAGATTAGCTCTGGATTTTATATACAGTAAACCGGTCCTAAGGGTCCCCTCTGAGAAGGGGGAGGTTGGATAGTGGGGGATAGGGACAGAAAGAGAGTTTTGTTTTTTACCAAGTACTTGTTTGTTCCCTTTGAATTTTATTGTGTACATATTACTGACTCAAAAAGTACAATTAATTTTTAAATAAAACCCTGCCAACAAATTCAAATCTGTAAAGGCAAGAATGAAAATTGTGTATAATCTCACCCTTAGGAGTGGTCACTGTTAATTGATCTATGTCCTTTCAGTTTGATTTATATATGCATATGTACTGCATTATGTTGTCTATAAATATGGGATCCCTTTGTACACAGAGCTTTGCTTATAACCTGTTTATTATTTTTTTAACAATAACAAAGGGTATTTTTCTATGTCAGGACACAGAATTCTACCTCATTTTTGGTAACGACTAAGTATCCCATTGTATGAAAGTGTCTTTTGCCATCTTGGCATTACACACAGCTCCCAGCATGGTGCCACCATTCCAGCAAGCATCTGCTCTAGAAGTTTCTAATCTCATGGGCGCCTAGTTGGGTCTTCAGATAACCTGCTCTCGTTGTATTCTGGAGAAGGGATAAAGTAGGTTCAGGCTGAAGTCTGTGTGTGTGTGTGTGTGTTGGGGTGAGAGAAGGCGCCCTCTGGGCTGTGAAGACCCCTGGGTGTGCATGTGTGTATGCTGTGGTGGCATCCAGTCCTCTGGGCCCTGAGCCGGGCGCTGTGCTCCCCCTATAGGCTGTGTCCAGTTCCTGCAATATTATTACCAGAGAGGCTGCCTCTACAGGCTGCGTGCCCTGGGGGAGAGGAATCATCTGGACCTCACAGTGGGTGAGTAGCCCCCAGCCTGGGGAGGGGATGGAGGGTGGGGACAAGTACCAGCCCCTCCCTGCTCCCCAGGACCTCACCACTACTCACCGCCCTGGGAGCATGAGCCAGTAAGAACATAACAGCACCTACCACACAAAGCCTGGGCGGCCGGCCTCTACTTGAGTTGCTTTTCATAATTCATTGTGGATTCTGTTTCAGCCAACAAGCTTGTGGCCAGCTGTGTGCCAGGCCTCCATGCTGACTTCTGCCGTATCCTATTTATTTATTTATTTATTTTAAAAAAATGTATTTATTTATTTGGCAGAGAGAGAGAGCACAAGCAGGCTGAGCAGCAGGCAGAGGGAGAGGGAGAAGCAGGCTCCCTGCTAAGTAAGGAGCCTGACACGGGACGGGGTTCTATCCCAGGACCCTGGGATCATGACCTGATCCAAAGGCAGTTGCCTAACCAACTGAGCCACCCAGGCACCCCATGTCTTACCCTTTTTAAAGGCCTATTTTTTGGTCTGTGCTTTGTAATACATGTAATTATATATGCATTATGTTGTGCACGTATAATTTGTGTAATATGCCTACATATATGGGCACGGGTGGCTCAGTCTGTTAAGCATCTGATTCTTGATCTCAGCTCAGGTCTTGATCTCAGGGTCATGAGTTGGGCTCTCTCCTCGGCATGGAGCCTACTTAAAAAATAATATGGCTATGTATCGGGGCACCTGGGTGGCTCAGTGAGCTAAGCCTCCGCCTTCAGCTCAGGTCATGATCTCAGGGTCCTGGGATCGAGCCCTGCATTGGGCTCTCTGCTCAGCGGGGAGCCTGCTTCCCTCTCTCTCTCTGCCTGCCTCTCTGCCTACTTGTGATCTCTGTCTGTCAAATGAATAAAAAAAATAATAATTAAAAAAATAATATGGCTACATATAAATATGTAGAGAGATACATTGGGAATGTGTGCTTAACTTTTATATATAATATATATATGTAAATATATGTGTGTATATATATATATATATATATATATATATATTTTTTTTTTTATTTAAAAGAAAGAGAGCAAGAGAACGCAATGGGGAGGGTCAGAGGGAGAGAGAGAAAATTTTTTTTTTTTTTTTTCTTTTTTAGAGAGAGAGAGATCACAAGTAGGCCAAGAGGCAGGCAGAAACAGAGGGAGAAGCAGGTTCCCTGCCAAGCAAGGAGCCCGATATGGGACTCGATCCCAGGACGCTGGAATCATGACCTGAGCCGAAGGCAGCCACTTAACCAACTGAGCCACCCAGGCGTCCCGAGAGAGAAAATCTTAAGCAGGCTGTATGCCCAGCTTGGAGCCTGACATGGGGCTTGATCTCAGGACCTTAAGGTCATGACCTGAGCTGAAATCAAGAGTCAGTCACTTAATCTACTGAGCCACCCCAGCACCCCTGTGCTCAACTTCTTTAACTCACGGGTCAAGTGCCCAGTCAGAAGAGCTTGGAGAACTCTTAACTTTCTTAAGAGTTTCTTAACTCTTGGGACACCTGGGTGGCTCAGCTGGTTGAGCAGGGGCCTTCAGCTCAGGTCATGATCCCAGCGTCCTGGAATCGAGTCCCACATTGGGCTCCTTGCTTGGCGGGGAGCCTGCTTCTCCCTCTGCCTCTGCCTGCCACTCTGTCTGCCTGTGCTCGCTCTCGCTCCTCTCTCTCTGACAAATAAGTAAATAAAATCTTAAAAAAAAAATGTTTCTTAACTCTTAACTTGGAGAAGTCTTAACTTTCACAGGAAACTAATAAAATTCTCAAATCTTTTGAAATGGTCATTTCTACCGAACTACTCTGCAGAGTAGGCCCGACTTTGTCAAGACTCACTTGAAATGATACGTGCAGAAGTCCATTATAAAATGCAAAACCCCGTGCAGATCAAAGACATTATCAAAACCTGGTGCCTGGCCTGTCAGCTTTCTGTAAGTGTTGTCAAGCCCTATGAGTTCGTGATGACTTGAGGCGTGAGAGCAGTCAGGCCCCGTGACGGGTGTTGTGCACGGTCTCTGGGTGATTTGCATACTTGAGCGCTCACACACTGATGATAGGTGAGGGCTGCCTCCCCGCCCCATGGGGCTAATCTCGGGGGACTGGCATGGCTAGGCAGTAGGCGCTTGGTGGGGCTGTGGGGGCAAATGAACCCCCTCACACAGGCCCTTCACTTCCTCCTTTGTCTCCACAGAAGGATTCCAATCCTGGATGTGGCGGGGCCTCACCTTCCTCCTGCCTTTCCTGTTCTGTGGCCATGTGAGTCCCCTGGAATTTGTGGGTATCCCCTGTTCTGGGCTGACCCCTGGGAACAAAAGGTCCTCAGGTGTCTCCCGCATTCACCAGCCTTCCCTGAGCTGGCCCCACAGAGTCCTGGGGCAGAGATAGCCCCTGGGTCCTGGGCCGTAAGCAGGAGCCAGAAGTGGCTCTCAGCACCAGCATGCTGAGCCCCAGATTTTTAGGCTGCTCTGGCCTAGGGTGCTCCAGTTTCATTTTGGGGGGGGCTCTCAGTGTCCTAGGACAGTTGATACCAGAAGCTGGGAGAACTGGTCCACTCCCAGGGCTTCCCCACATGGGTGACTGGGGGACTCCGTCGGGAATAAGTGTTGCCTGCCTCCCCTCTTTCCAGTTCTGGCAGCTCTACAATGCCGTCACGTTGTTTGAGCTCTCCAGCCACGAGGAATGCAGAGAATGGCAGGTATGGGGTGGGGGGGGGGGGGGGGGGGGGGGGGGGTGGGGGTGTACACACGCACGCATGCGCACGCGTAGAGGCATGTGCATGTGCCTGTGGCTGTGGGGTGAGGGTGGGGGGTCCTGGGGAAGCTTGGGCTAGCTTGGAGAGAATTCCTCAGCCACCCGTTCGCTCCCTGGCCCTGTGTCTAGAGCTCCCTGCCACTGGGGCCTGGGAGACTGTGGGAGGGAATTCGGGAAGCCAGGGACCCCCAAGTGTCTGAGAACCCTACTGAATGCTGTGGGGGTGCCAGAGGAGACACCTTCCCACAGTTAGCCCAGATCTCTGCTTTCTGCTGTGGGAGCTCTGCACTTTGCCAGTGGCTTGTGCTAAGGGGGTTGCAAGGTCACGGGGCGGGGGGGGGGGTGGAGGGGTTGGCCAGAGGGGCGTCTCAGCAGCAAGCTGACCAGAGCTGACTCAACCTTTTCTTCCTTTCCTCTCCTCCCCCTGCCACCCCTTCCCCTGTCACCCTGCATGCTCCTGCCCAGGTGTTCGTGTTGGCGCTCACGTTCCTCGTCCTCTTCCTGGGCAATTTCCTGACCACACTCAAAGTCGTGCACGCGAAACTTCAGAAGAACAGAAACAAGGGGAAGAAGCTGTGAGCCAAGGGACCTGTGCGTCCCTCCAGCCCCCCCCCACGGGGGGTTCAAGACTGCACGGGGTTCCAGCCGGCCCCCTTGCTGCCCAGTTCTCCTCACGGTGTCTGTGGACAGCAGCCAGCTCGGCGGCCAGCGCATGGCGGGGAGGAGGGCCAAGGTCCCGGTCCCTGGCGGACAAGAGGAACGTGAGCCCTGCCTGTCCGTACAATGTTCGCCTGCCCCAGCCTCCCTATTTATGACATATTCACGACGGCCTCCTCCCGACTGCCCCGGAACCCTCAGTCTTCCCTCGCTGCCCTCTTGGCTACGGTTGAGCCTCGGTCAGGCTTCCTGGGGTGGGGTGGCCGGAAGCCTCAGGGAGCCCCTCAGGTTGGGGTCTGGATGTGCCTCGCTGGGGTGCCGACCGGCTCCTTACTGATCCCCAGTGAGTGGAAGGAAAGCCCCGGGCGTCCTGTGGAACCTCCCGCCCCGGGGCCCACCGCTTCTGCTGTAAGCTCTCCTGGCCGCCCCTGCTCCGCGGTGGGGGTATTTAAGTTCTCAGAGAACCACTGTCTGTCTGTGCCTTGTGCTCTTTGCGGTTCCCAGGCTGCCGGCTCCCCGGGGACAGCTGCCCTCCCTCCCCCAGGGCTTGGCCCCACGCCCCCACCCGCGTGGGCCGGAGGCGGGAGGGTTCGCTGTGACCACCAGGGGGCGTCCCAGCCTCGGCATCCCGTGGGCGGTCGGAGGGCTTTTTTTCTTTTTTTTTTTTTTCTTTTTTTTTTTTTTTTGACACTTGAGTTTGGCTTCCTGACCTCCACCCCCTCAGCCCACTTCCCGGAATCCTTGCACGAGTTCTCAGAGTGGGACCCGCACTTCGGCGCTGGCTGAGACTCGGCCATCGTGGAGTTCACCCACCCTCCCCACCTTCCCTCCCTTCCCCTCAGGTTCTGGAATGCGGTGGAGAGAGTTTGAGCAGGCTCCCTTCCAGGTGGCACTTGGGAGGCCAGGACAAGCCCGCTGGGCACCTTGTGTCCAATTCTGTATTTGAGGCGAGGGTGAAGAAGCCGGCAGGCTTGGAGGAATGTTCTGCCCCCGCTCCCCCCAGGAGCTGTAGCCCTCTTCCCCACACATGGGTCTCCGCTCCCCTTAACTACCTCCCTACGGGTCCTCTGAGCGGAGTTCACAGCCGGCATCCTCCATCCTGCTTGGGCCCCCAGAGGAGTTTGCGCTTTTTGAACTGTTACATTTTTAAGAAATTTCCCTTCCACCCCAGTAAGAGTCTGCATAAAAACCCAGATTTCTACTTTCCTTAGAAAAATGGAAAGCTCTGGGCTGGGCTAGCTGCCTGCTTAGGATGGGGTGCTTGCTTTCTGGTGCCACACACCCACCACTCCCTTTCATACCTGCCCTCTCTCACTCCTTTGGGTCTTCCATCTGGCCCTGAGGCGCCTGGGTTTTCCTGAGACTAGGAGTCGGCAAGCGTCTTCTGTAAAGGGCCAGATAACCAGTCCCCATTTCCCTCAGCAGCAGCTGTAGGGCCAAAGCCACCAATACCTAAATAAATGGGTGTGGCTGAATCCCAACAAAACTTTATTTACAAAAACACACAGCTGCCAGATTTGGTCCACGGAGTATGGTTTGCTAACCGCCACCCTATACCATCACTTGTCCATGAGGCCTTGGGGAACCGGTGTGGGGTGCGGTGGGATGGGATACAGGAGTCTCTCTCTCTCTCTCTCCAGCAGCTGACTTCAGAGGCTCAGGCTTAGTGGGGGCTGAGGCAGGAGATCCCTGGGAGGGCAGGAGCCCCCTCAAGCCATCATCCCCGGTTCAGTAACACGGACTTGTAGCTCACCCAGGAAGTAAGCAGCTCTCCTTCTCCAGGGCATTAGAATCACCTGGAGCACTTGTTTAAAAACTCCTGGCCCCAGACCTTCCAGAAAGTTCAGTGAATCTGTAGCCAGGGGTTGTGTGTTCTCGCAGGAGGCCAGGATAGTCTGAGCTTGGCAACAGTGGAGGCTGTGAGGGATAGGAGGGAGCGCGATGACTACTAAAATGAGTCAGTGCTGTCCTTTTGCAGATAGGGAAACAGTCTGCAGAGAGAAGTGACTTGCCCACGATCACTCACAGCTGATGTCACTCTTCGTCTTGAGTTTCCGGCAGTGGGGGGGTTGCAGGTGACGCGCCCTGGAGCAGGGCTTGGGTGGGTGGGCCAGGGTACCTTTTGCTTTTTGAGAAAGTCTCTTCTCCCCCTTGGGCATGTGCACCCAGCTCTGGGAAGATGGCAGCCTAGCCGAAGGTTGGGGCCGGAAGCCTGGGGGGGGGGGGTGAGGGGTAGGGGCCGGTGCCAGCCCCCATGTCCGGGGCTGGTGCGTGTGCTGTCCCGATAAGTCCCCATCCCACTGTGGCCCCCACGTTCCTGGAGGAAGGAAGCCAGAAGCTGGAGGATGCAGCCGTGCCTATCTCAGGAGCCCAGGGAGGCGGGTGACGCAGGAGCGGCGGGCTTGGTGGGGGGCCGTGTGGAGCGCTGACAAAACCACATTTATCCACGTACCAGATGCGGCTGTTTGTTTCAAGCATAGGTTTTCAGGACCTATCGGGTGTGCAAAGGGGGACACAATGGCTGGGGGGAGGCTGTGTACTCCCGCATCCTAGGGATAAATGCTGGTTCTAGGGTACAGAGGGACTGAGTCTGGGACCCTCCCCCACCTCCTTGCAGGCGTGGGAACCCTGGCCTGAGGTGAGTTCACGGCCAGAGCCCCAGCTGGGAAAGGAGAGATCTCCAGAATGTTCTAAAAGTCTAGCCACAGCTCCAGACACACGGAGACCCCTAACTCAAAGTGCCATTGGAAAGCTGGGGACAGAGCAGGATCTTGGGGTACAGTCCGGGCCTAGCAGCCTAGGCCCTGTCAGTCTTGCCATGAGGGCCTGTGTGCCCTGTCCAGAGTGGTCAGAGCAGCAGGCACAACGGGCGTTTCTGCCGCTGTGCTTTCTTCAGCGCATTGAGGGCAACCTTGGCCGCAGCTCGGAAGACGTCTTCCACATTCTCCCGAAACTTGGCAGAACATTCCAGGTAGAGGGCGGCTCGGATCTGTTCGCAGGCGCTCTGGCCCTGGGTGGGGGGAAGGGCTGGCATTAGATGAGCCTGGAGCATGGGGCACCTCCTGACAGCCCCCCACGGATCTGGGGACTTAGAGCTGGCTTTGGGGACTCTCCAAGGCGGGGCAAAGGTCTAGGCCCTTCCCCCATCCCAGGCCCAGTCCTCAGCAGTGTTTGTGGATGGAACGGAAGGGCCTGTGGTGTGGCCCAAGGGCTGCAGCTGAGAAGCCCCATCCTGGCCTCTACCCTGCCCTCCCCACTGGCCCCCACATCCCCACCACCACCTCAGGCGGAGAGGGGGCTGCGTCCTGACGCTGGGCTGCTGTGTGTGCCAGGCCTGTGACAAGAGCTAGAGGCCTCCAGACACAAAGGGCTTCCTCGATTCCTCCCCCTTGTCCCTTCCTTCCCACAAGCTCCATCCAGGCAATGGAGCTGGCGAGGACAGTAAAAACTCTTCTTCCAAAATTTACTTTTATTAATGCTTATTCCTTTTTATTAAACTTTCTTACTAGTTTTCCTTTGTGTTCCTTTTCTCGTCCCACGCCTCACCCAGAAAAGCCGCAGGGTTTGGTTTTGCCCACGACCCTCACGGTTAGGGGAGCCCTGCTCTCGAGCAAAGCCTGCCTCTCCAGTCCCCTGCGGCAGGTGGGACAGGATCCTGGCTCCGCTGTGGGTCAGTCGTGTCCCTCTCAATCTCTATCTTGCCTCTCTGGGTCTCCTTTTCTCCCCTGTGTGACAGGGGATGGGAACAGCCCATGCCCCGTGCCCCGGGGTTGTAAGGATTAAATGAGGTGGGGGTGGGGGACCCCTTCCTGACCTGCATGTAGGTGATGGGCTCCAGCTGGGCCGCCCGGAGCTTCCGAAGCTGCTCCTTGTCTTTCCGCAGGTCTGTCTTGCAGCCAATGAGCACCATGGGGGTCCCACGGCAGAAATGTGTCACCTCAGGGAACCACTGCGGAGGGAGAGGGCAGGCCTCAGGGCTAAGGCCAGATTTGGGGGCCCCACCCCCGAGACAGGCTGGCTGGGTCACGGGCCTCACCTTGATGAGGACATTGTCATAGCTGGTGGGGTTCATGACATCATAGCAGATGAGCACGAGGTGGGTATTCTGATAGGACAGGGGCCGAAGCCGGTCATAATCTTCCTGCCCTGGAATGGGAGAGGAGGTAGGGGTCAGGAAGGCACCCCCTCCTTGTCCACCTGAGTCTGGGCTCTGTCTCTAAGGCCTGGGTTTGCTCCTCTGTAAAACAGAGGGGGCAGCCCACAATAGCAAAGATAAGAGGAGATAAAACCCAGGCAGGGCTCAAAACCAGGTCTGATTACAGGGTAATCAGGAGAAGCTGGAGAAACTGCTAGCAATTATGTCCTTGGCAATTACTGCCACCCCCTCTCCAACCCCCCAGCTTGCCCGGCGCTCAGGTTGAAAAGAACAGACTCAGGCCAGGTCAGCTCCCCTCCCGGAAGAAGGTTTGGGGCTGGGGCATGACCAGGCCACTGCAGGATCCGGGAGGGAAACCCCCAGGCCCAGAGGCCTGGCCTTGGGTTGAATTCCTCCTGCCCTCTGTGAACCCCAGGAGGAGAGTGGTGGGGGGACGGCTGGTACCCGGCCCCTCCCCCATGCCACTGAATCAGCCGCCAAGGCTGGGTGTGGTTTTTTAATGGTTTTTAGTAATTTTTTTACGTTGACAATTTCAAACTTAGAGAAAAGTTGCAAAAAGGGTGCCAAGAACTCCCTTCCTGGGGCGCCTGGGTGGCTCAGTGGGTTAAGCCTCTGCCTTCCGCTCAGGTCATGGTCTCAGGGTCCTGGGATCGAGCCCCGCATCGGGCTCTCTGCTCAGCGGGGAGGCTGCTCCCCGCCCCCCACTCTGCCTGCCTCTCTGCCTACTTGTGATCTCTGTCTGTCAAATAAATAAATAAAATCATTAAAAAAAAAAAAACCTCCCTTCCTCAGATTCCTGAGTGTTTATATTTTGCCCCACTTGTCCTCTTATATGTAAACATTTGAACAGGCTTCGCCCCAGGACAGTGCCTGCAGATTTCTAAGAACTCGAGTTCCATCATCTCGCGGAGAAAGGCAGCCAGCTGGGGCAACCGCTGCAGACTCTGTGTTCTAACCCAGCCCACTGGCCACATTCACATCTCAGTGGGGGTGTCCTGTAGGTTTGCCCGCGTCCTCCGAACTGTCCCCTCTCCTAATCTTGGTCCATGTCTTTCTAGACCTGTGCTGTCTGGTAGGGTGGCTGCTAGCCCCATGTGGCTGTTTAAACTAATTAACATTAAAAATTCAGGTTCTCCATTGCACTAGCTACATTTCAAGTGATTAATTGCAACACAGGGCTAGTGGCTCCCGTAACAGGCAGTGTGGATACCCGACATCCCATCACCACAGAAAGTTCTATTGGACAGCATGGCTCCATCCCCGTGCAAGTCACCGCTGGCCTCCTGTGATCCATGCTGCCCCTCAACAATCCATTCCCCACCCGGCAGTTGGTTGAATCTAAGACAGGATCCTGCCTCCCTCCCCTCAAATGAAGAATACCTTCAGTGGCTCCTATTGTCCTTTGTATAAAATCCAAACATCTCCCAAGGGTCTGCATGACCTGGCACCCACAGACCCTGACATTTTCTCCCCCCCCATCCCAGCCCCCAACCCCCTGCTGTTTCTCAAACCCACCAAGCTCTTGTGCCTCAGGGCCTTTGTACTTGCTCCCCTCCCCCAACCTGGAATGCTTTCCCTACTTACCACCCCCCTTTTCTTCTTAGCCTTTTACTTTAAGACATTCAAACTGAATGTCCACATTATTTCCTTTTTCAAGATAATTGTCTTCTCTCTACTTCTCCTCCACAGTAACACCACTTTATGCTTTACCCACGTTTTAGAGTGCTTCTGCCTATGAACAGTTAAGAAATCCTTACAGCCATCACCTGATGGGCTAGACAGGAAGTGAAGAATATTTCCATTTCCACAGAAACTGAACTTCAGAGAAGTGATTTCCCCGAGGTCACTGCACCAGTGACCCAGCCAGGGCTTAGCCCCAGTCTGTCTGGGTCCCGGTGGAGCTGTCCTGCTGACAGCCAGCGGTGCTCTAGTTGGTTCTGCATTGTGCAAACATAGCTTCTGGGCCCCTACGATGTCACGATGCAGCTCCTACTTCTGGCACAAAGTGCCTATCTGATCCTGTTAGAAATCTGGCGGGAGTGGACAAGTAGCTGCAAAACGGGCCTCCCGGGCTCTGTCGGCTTTGCTCCTCCTGACCAAGGCCTTCCCTCACCACACAGCATCTGCCCCGCCCCGCCCTGGGTGTCCACAGCCTGGGCCTGCCTCCCCAGGGCCTGTAAGCGCCCTGAGTGCAGGGACCTTGTCTGTCCTTAAAAATCATCACCAGCGCCTGGCAGGTGTCCAGTCAGGCCTGGCTGCTCATTGCCTGAAGCCTTTCCACTCCCCCTTCTGATGCAGCAGAGAGCAGGGCTGCGACGGCCCAGGGGTTTAGTAACTCGGGCTGGGGAGGATTTCAGCAGAAGTCGGGCTGCAGGGGCTGGGAGGAGGAAGTCAGACTGAGCCTGCCCCCTGCCCCGGGAGCCTCTACTCTCGCCCATCCCTCTTCAAAAGGTTCTTGCCCAGGTAGCATGCCTTGCTCCCTCCTTTCCTTCAGGTCCGCAGAAACATCACCTCCTCCAGGAGAGCTCCCTTGACTGCTGCCCCACCCCCCACCACGGCTCTGTTATTCTTCCATATGTTGGGTTTTGGTTTGGCTCTGTCTGCCCCATGAACACAGAAGCCCCCGAGGACAGTTACGGCACCAGGCGAGTGGTGAAGGAACGAACAAATAAGTGCGGGTTAAGGTGTCACGCTAACCTCTCGGGTTTCCCGCAAGGGCATTTCACTTCTGTCACCTGTGTCCACTTAAGCAGCCGCCCTGGGGAGCTAAGCCAAGCTGAGAAAGTTCTTCCTGTAAGGAGCCCATGAGGCCGAGAGGGACCTTTTCCAAGGTCATAGACAGGTTCCCTGTGAGCTGGAGCGCCAACTCGGTCAACTCCAGAGTCACTCCAGGGCCACTCTAAAACTGCCACAGACTCTCTCAGGAAGGCTTCTCCGGACTTCCCAATTGGGAATCAACCTCATTTCCGTACGAATGGTTTCCTCACCTGTGAAATGGGTACTTGAGAAGCAGGTGAGTTTGATAACAATACTAAAAGGGGTGACAATCAACCACATACATCGCAATGCTCCCTTGTCATGAAGGCTCTTATGCTTGCTCACGGCTTCGCTTGAAGCCCAGCACCTACACTAAGCCATCATGCCTCATTATGACGCTAACAAGGTAGGGCGATTGCCGCCGCATTTTACAGATGCAGAAACTGATGCACAGAGAGGTGAAGTGAGTCGCCTTAAGGTTGCACAGCTAAGGAGAAGCTCCGTAAGACTACTGGGGGGGGGATGCCTCTCTCTCAGCCCACTCCAGAGGCTAGGGAGCTGTCCTCACCCCACCAGCCCCAGGCCTGATCAAAAGGCTCCCAACACAGGTATTGAGAGAGAGAGAAAGGGGGGAGCGGCCCTGGGAGGGGATGGGCAGCCAGCTTGAATCCTAGCTCCCTCCTCCAGGCTGCCTTCCTGACTTGACTGGGCCTGGCTCAACTTTTTGCAAGATTCAGTGTGGACCTCCACGTGGGGACCAGGCCTGCAAAAGATGGACATGGTGACCTCGTGTCCCCCTAGACGCCTCTCCCATAGGAGTCAGGAGAACCAAGCTACATGCAGACTCATTTCTATGACCTGGGTGCCTTCCCTCTCTAGAGCTCGGTTATCCGGCAGAGGGGATGATTACCCTGCCCCCCATACTGGACATAAAGGACTAGTAGGCTAAGCAAAGCTGAACAAAGGTGAAGGACTGCTACTATGGTTACAGTTAAAACAGAAACTTCCAGGGGATGGGGACCTGGGCGGGGATCTAACCCCAGATCTTTGGACCCACAAGTTTTAGGGGGCCCCCAGCCACAAGGTGATACTCTTGCCCTCCCCGTTTATGCACACTAATGCCAAGATTTAAAGGGGCCAAGTCCCCTGTCCAGCAGCACATCGGGGTCCCACTCTGGCCTCTGCAGATGGGCCTGCACGGAGTTACGTGCAAAGGGATGCATTTGTTTGTAGCCAGGAAAGTTCTTCTGGGCCACAGCTCCCCTTGAAAGTGGCCCATCTTCCTGAAGCTGGTGGGGCAGAGAGGCAGGGAGCAAGTGAGGCTCTCACATCGTACGAGGGTATTTCCTTTGTGGGAAGGAGCTCTGCTGTGTCAGTCACTTTCCAGAGGCAGGGGTCTCTAAGGCCCGGAGCTGAGCTGAGAAGAGGGTGTCCCTGGGCCACAGTGATCCTCATATCTGCTGGACACACAGAGAACGGTGGTTACCAGCTCTAGCCAGGGCGTTGGTCAGGGGAGGGGCGCAGGCAGTGTGAGAAGGGGAAGCTGCCAGAAGAGGAACCCACTTCCCCACCCACCTGCGTTTCCTCCCCAGAGGAAGGAGTGGCTGCGCAGGCCCAGCCTGGAGCCTAGGAGGCCACTCTGACCGGAGGCTTCAGCTCTTCAAGACCCCAGGCCTTCTAGCTCTTAGCCCCCTGGTCCCTGATTCCCTGACTCAGCAACTCCTCTGTCCGTCCCCCAACCTCACTGTTCCCATTGTTCCCATCTCAGGCTGGGAAGGGGACCACAGGTCCCCGCCTCCCTGGGCAACCCTCATCCCATCCTGGACTCCCCGCCCCTGGGCCCCACCCTAAGACCCAGACAGCTTCACCCCTAGCTGGTGTCTTAACATCCCACCTTGCCCCGGCCTCCCCTCTGCCCAGCAAACCTCAGACCCTACCACAGCTTCCTGCCTCTGAGGGTGTCAGGCCCACAGCAGGTGAGGCTGCTAGGGCAAGAGCTCACTGTGCCTGCCTCCCCTCCCCTGTCAGCACTGAGAGCTCCGTCGCCCCTCCAAACCTCCCTCCCACTGCTATGGCGTCTGTGTCTGCTTCCGCAGGATGAAGACGAGCAGCCAGACTGGCCTCCCACGCAAACCCCTACGGCCCAGGTCCTGGGTATGGGGAAATTCGGCCTCCCAGGGGCCAACCCTGTTCCATAGCTCTGGTCACCGGTGGTCAGTTGGAAAGATGGCACTCTGCACCACCATCCCCCACCACGGGGTCTAGCTCAGCAGGTTCCAGAACCGTCTACAACCTTTACAACCTTTACGAGCCTTATCTCTGGCTCAGCCACTCCCCTCCCCCACTTACTCTCTCCCTCTACTTGGTCCACTGGGCCTCCTTTCCTGCCACTGATTTTTGATCTCTGTCCATCCACGGGTAGAGACAATCTCACTGCCTTTATCACATGGAACATTCTCCAGGAGAGCCTTTGCCTCCAATCTCTTTTGCATTCATTCCACAGTCACCGTACTGGGCACTGGCACATGGAAAAGGAATGACCCAGTCTCTCCTTCATGTTCCTTGTGACAGGGCTTCCTGGGTCACAGCAGGACACCCCAGAAGGAGTGGCCACATTTCTTTCTCCTTGAATATTCATTCATCCCTGGGCTCTCCTTATGACCATGAAGCCAATTGACTTCCCTAGGACTCCACTGAGTCGTTCAACCCCCAGCTCTGTTTCTCCGGTCCTTCGGGGAGGGCAGGGTGGAGGCCAGCCTGGAGCTCTTCAGGCCTTCGAATCCCAACAGGTTGGACTTGGGTCTGAGCCTGAATGGCCGGGCGGGGGTGGAGGGGGCTTAAAAAATCATGACAACAATTAGCTCTTCCCAAGAACCGCCCCCCGTGTTATGCATCACATGGATCTAATTTAATTCTCAAGACTAATCTAGTTAGCCCCGATTACAGATGAGGAAACTGAGGCCCAGATGACACATAGCCAGGGAGCCAGCATCAAAGCCTAGGTCTGACTCCAAAGCATGTGGCGGGAAGAGCACCATTGCTGTGGTGGCCACGTGCCTCTGATGACCGGGCCTGGAGCCCCTCCAGTCTCTCCTGCAGCAGCTGTGAGTGCAAGTCCGTCCTTTACACCAAACAGAAAACTTCTGGAAACTCCACACCACAATCGGCCCTAACATGTTCTTTGAGCATCTTTCTCTGGGTGCGGCCACAAAGACCAGAAGTGGTCCCTGTGCTGGGTCTGATGGGGGAGGCTTCTATGAACAGTGAACCCCAGGGATCTGATAGGAGAGGCCCAGAGGTCCTGGAGGGCAGAGGAGAGTGAAAACTGGCACCTCACCCACAAAGTGGGGCTCATGGGCCTGCCCCTCCCTGGGTCCCTGACAGAAAGTATGTGAAACTGAAAGTATCCCAGACACACTGTAAGTTTTATGCTCTCACGACAATGCTCCCGGGGGAGTTTCTCAGCAAACTTTGCCTTTCTCAGTTCTCAGGGCTGGAAGCAGGGCCCTGTTGTGGGGGGTCCCCAGACTTTCGGGGCCCTCAACCAACAAGAGGGGGTCCTTAGAAGCCACTACAGGGCAGATCCCACCATACAGTAAAGGCTGCTGAAATCAGGAATGGAGGAGGGGCCTGGGGATGGGCCAATCTCTTTTCTGATTCTCTGCACGGTGGAATGGAGATGCCACTAGCTGCCTACGGTTAGGGGATGTCTGGATTTTGGCTCCATCCAAGGCTAGTGGAGACTTCCCCTAGCATATACAAGGCTTGGCTGGCAGGGGACAGGGCACCCGATGACGTGGTTCCATGCAGGTCACTAAACATTGAGACAGAGAGGTGGGGTGAGATCCTGACCTTTGTTCCCCAGTGGTGGTTCAGCCCAGGAGGGGATTGAGGGCAGGATGGAAGCTCCTTGAGGGCAGACACCCAACACTCCCCATCCCCCCCACCCCGCCAGCTCCCCCCTCCCCAAACAGGGTCTCTGATAACTGACAGGATTAGCATAAATCCACTTGCGTTAGGAGCCACAGGTGGCCAAGAGAATCTTATTCTGGACTTGGGAGCTCTGCTCCTTCCTCTGTGTTTGGTTTATTTCTGCTCCTTCCTCGGTGTTTGGTTTATTCCCAGGGAACCAGGAAGACACAGAATTGTAGCCAGAATCCTAGAACTACAGGCTCAAAATGACCACAGAATTCCAGAACCGTGTATTGTAGCAGATGGAATCCCAGGAGTGTGGAACTCAGAATTAGTGTGGAAGCCAGAATTTATGTCCACAGGACCCCGGAGCCTCAACCACAAAATCCTGGAGTCACAGGCTCTGATCTGTAGCCCAGAGTATTCTAGAACCACAGGACCCAGAAATTCAGCCCACAGGATCCTAGCACCAGGGGACTAAAATCCGCAGCCCACAGAATCTTAAGAGACCACAGCATGCAACACACGAAAGCCTGGAACCATGGGAAGCAGAAGCGATGCCCACGGTTTTCTAGAACCACAGGAGAGGAATGAAGCCGTGGGTTCTCAGCACATTAGCGCTAGCAGGGTGGCCCAGGAGCGCCTCTCATTCAAGTCCCCTCCTTTCAAACATGGGGTGACTGAGGCCCTCTGAGCCTCCAGGGCCACCCTGCCAGAGCCCCTCGCGGCCCTCAGGAGTGCTGGGAGGTCAGGGCCCCACAGCGGCTGGTGGGCGGGGATGCCCGGAGGGGTACGCCCCGGCGGGGGAAACCCTTCGGGCACCGGGGACCCTCGGTGCGCAGGCGCACTCACCGGCGGTATCGTATAGGTTCAGGGTCACCTCCTTGCTGCCCACAGTCACGCTGGCCGTGTACTTCTCGAACACGGATGGGGCGTAGTCCTGTCGGAGAAGGGGTCGGCCGGTTCTTAAGGGGTGCGACGGGGGGCCCAGGGCTCAGCTGCGCCGCCTCCCTTCACCCCATCCAGCTCAGCTCCCTTCACCCTTCTGGGCTCTGGAATTCCCGAGGGGGCGCCCCGGGGTGGCGGCTGCCTCTCTACGCACAGGACGCCGGGGAGCCGGGGTCCAGGCTCAAGGCGCAGGCTGAAGGCCGTCCGTCGCCGCCCGTGGTCCCAAGCCCGTTTTTTGCCCCGCAGTCTCACCCCCACCAACTCCCCGGCGGGCCTCACCTCAGGGAAGGAGCCCTGGCTGTACACCATAAGCAGTGATGTCTTGCCGCAGCCGCCGTCACCCACGATCACGATCTTCAGCTCCTTCTTGCCCGGGCCCGCATTCGGGCCCGGGGCCCCGGGGGCATCCATAGCCGTGAGCAGCCGGCACCGGCAACCGCGCGCGGGGCAGACTTCTGGGGCTGAACGATCGGGAGCGGGGGGCGGGATCCAGGGGGCGGGCCGAGATAAACCCCGCCCACTGTGTGCCGGCATCGCCTCCGCCAGGCAGCCACCCGGGCCCACCTCCCAGCCTCAGTTTCCCTTTCTGTTCGGTCCCGGACCGGGGCGTTCACTTTTCATTCCCAGGGAAACTGAGGCAACTGAGAAACGGGGGCACTCAGCCTGAAGCGCGGCTCCCACTCCCTTCCCTTCATGTCAAGGCGCGCCCCCCACCGACAAGATTCGATCGTTTCAGCCGTTCCTCGCCGGGCACCTCTGATTGGCAGGCTCCGCCTTCTGGCAGGGACCCTCTGATTGGCCGGTTCGCCCCCCCCACCATCGGACAGAGACCCTTTGATTGGCGGATCGTTGCCCCAGCACCAGGAGTCCAGGAGCCTCGGTCTTAGGCTCAGGGAAAAGCCCCTTGTCGTAGCTCCGCCTCAGCTGTGTGGCCTGGGGCAAGTCGGCTTCTGACCTGGTCCCCCACGAGGTAGGTTGTTAGTGCCAGGGAGGATGCTGGCATGGGAGGCGTGTCTGCTCACCTAGACCAGACCTACGGGCGCCAGTGATGGGGTTGGGGTTGGGGTTGGGGAATAGCGGTTCCACTCACCTACCCCCCCGCCACCTCCCCAAGAGCGCAAGGTGGACGTCTGGCGCCCTCTGGCGGGCAATCACCTTGGGGCGGGCAGCTTGGAGAGCAGGTGAACGACTCCGGAACAATACCCTTTGGGGGTTGGCCCCACACCACGCGGGCGGAAGTCTCTTTCTAGCAGGGGCAGAGGCATGAAACGAGGAAAACACCGTCGAGGAAGGAATGGGTAAAGCCAGGGCAGATCTAGTTGAGGTAAGCTGGGCTCCCTCCTAACACCCACCCCAGCCTGAAATTTGATTAAGCGCCCTCCAGCCAGCAGCCTTGTATCTTCATGCCAAGGACTGTCACCAACCTTCCCACTTCCCTGATCAAAACAGCTATGTATCGAGCACAATGTACAGGTACTACGGGGGCTGCTGGCTGAGATCACTCCTGTCCCCCATTCTTTCCCTCCCCGCGACCCTGGGCCAACCGTCCGTTGCACAAGCCAGGCCGGCAGTCAGGAGAGGCAGGGGACCTCTGGAGCCAGTGTGCGGCTGTCGGGCATTGATTGAGGCAGGGTTAAGTGAGAGACCGGTCCTACCCTGTCTACTCTGGTAGTTTCCTCAGAGGAAGGACTCAGGATCTTCTAGCCACAACCCCCCCCCCCAGCCCCCCAGGAAGATTTTCAATTTTCAAGTTCTCAGCAAAGACCAGGTAAACTTTATTTTAAAAAATTTTAAGATTTTATTTATTTATTTGACAGAGAGAGATCACAAGTAGACAGAGTGAGAGAGGGAGGAGGAAGCAGGCTCCCCGCTGAGCAGAGAGCCCGATGCAGGACTCGATCCCAGGGCTTTGGGATCATGACCTGAGCCGAAGGCAGAGGCTTAACCCACTGAGCCACCCAGGCGCCCCATACCAGGTAAACTTTAGTTCACGGAGGAAATTGCCAACTTGGCAATTCCATAAAGGCCGGGTAGGTTTTCCGCGGAAGCAAGGCAGGGTCTGACCACCAGAGGGCAGCAGCGACCGCTCGTGGAAGCTTACAAATAAGAGCCCAGAGCTGGGAAAAGGAGGCAAGGCCCAGCTCCAGGTCAAGCGAGTCCTACACCCGCCCCACCACGCTCCTCATTGGGCCAGAGGGCCACCTGCTGGGTCAAGCACCCCCCGCATACAAATTTACACCAACTCATTCATTCCTTTTTTGCAAAACAAGTTTATTGAGAGGCAACTGTGTTCCTGCCTGGAAGGAGCTATCTTGGGGAAGCAGTCCAAAGAAGTCTGGAGACGTGAACAATTTAGAGACCAGAACCTCTGTAGGGTTCAGGGAAGGTTGAGCCCAAGCTAGGCAGTGTTGGGACGGCAGACCAGCGGGAGCAGGATGGGTACCCTGGGCAAAGGCACAATAGCTGGAAAACCCCGTCAGGTTCCACAGCACCTGGGCAGTGAGGCCAGACATGGTTGTCAAGGTAACTGGGGTTAGATCAGGGAGGGCCTTGCTGCCAGGTTCAAGACGGGTATGGGACAGAAAGCTCCTGAAAAGAAGTGCCCAGCCAAAGCCAGCCCCGCAAGCTCTCTGGTGACCCAAGAGGATCTGTGATTGGCTGGTGAGGCAGTGCTGGGGTCACACTTACATAGTGGCAGCCTGAGGCTAGCAGACGAGGAAGGATGGAAGAAGCCTCTGAGTGAGGGGAGGACCACTTACCTTCCCAAGCCAGCCCTGGACCTGACCCTGAATCAGGGACCCTGAAGCTCAGGGAGGGGCTGAAGGGCAAGAGGAGGAGGGGCGGGAGAGAGTTCAGTTGCCCCACTCTGAGCCAACTGTCACCTGGGGGTTAACCACACCTCCTGATGAAATTTCCTCAAAATCCCTGACCTCAAGTTGCCATTTTCTCCACCTGAGAAACAGGACTCTGATCCCAACTTAAGACAACAAATGGCTTCTACAAAACTGAGCGGGTGGGGGGATGGGGGGGGGAGGGATGTCAGGGAGGAAAAGCAAAGGTTCCCAGCCCCGCCCGCATCCAGGCAGAACAGCTGACACTGGCCCCAGCCGTTCCCCCGCCCACCCACCCACCCCCGCCTCGCCAAGAGGCTGGCACAACCGCAGCCCCACACGGCCTGGAGTGTGTTTGATTTGGACCCGGCTCCAGTGGTGGTGTAGGGGCTGGATCTGTACCTAAAAATACCCAGGAGCCAGGCCAGCTGCGGAGAGCTTCCTCAGAGGCAGCTGGGCCAGGGCAGGCCGGCTGAGGAGCTGTGCCTGTCCACACGCCAGGGGAGCCCTGCTCCCTCTGTGAGCGGTTCTGAGGACCCAAGTCATTCACCTTCTAGTCACCAGGGATTCCCGGAGAGGTTTAGGAAAACAAGAAAGAGTCTGTACGTTGGATCTTAACACAGAACTGTTGGACACCGAGGCCTAGGGGAGCAGGCCAGCATGCATCTGTGGGGTAAACTCACTTGGCCTGTGCTAGAGTTTAAGGCCAGCGGGGCCCAGGAGAGAACTAAGGGCCAGATCCATTCCTGTCTTGTCAAAGTCTGATCAGCACAGGATGGAGCAGGTAATGACAATTCTTCCAGCTTCTACTTCCCTGGTACCTCAGAACATCCTAGAAGGTCACCTCACACCTGAGGAGTCATCCACCCTAGAGGAGACAGAAGACACCGAACTATTCTTTGAGGTACTGGCGATGGAAGGTGGCCAGGGGTATAGCCTGGGAGTCAAGGACTCTCTCCAGGGCTCAGTACCTGGTGGTGCTGCTGGGGAGGTCATGCTGAGACACAAAAAGCTCTCCTCACAAAGCCGGACCCGGAAACAGCTCAAAAGGTCATCATCCACCTTCTTCCTCCTGGTTCACATGGGGAGACCTCAGCTCCCGTAGGGGCGGGGACTCGCTGAGGTCACTGGCCGGTTGGAGACAGCGCTGGACCCAGGAAACCTCCAAGATGGCGGGGTGCCTCTAGCCACGGTCCAGGCAGAGGGAGTCTCCACCCAGAGGGTCCAAAAGGTCGTATTCCTGGCTGGGGCTCTCGGCGGATGGGCCGGAAGAGGCGGGACCCTGGTGTCCAGTAGCAAGGCAGGTTCAGCCACCTCCCAGCCTTGGGCCGCCCTTCCGCTGGCGTGGCCCTCTCCAGGATGGCCCTACCAGATTGGCGCCAGGAGCAGCCCCGCCCTGAGCTCGCTGGGAGACCGGGGGCGGGGCCAGCCTCTGAGCCAGGAGGAACCACGGCCAGAGGACAGACAGGCTGCTCCGCCTCTCCCTGCCCCCAGGAGGTGATGGGCTGGGGTGGGGGCAGGGGGGACAAAGAAAGGTGAAAGAGGTAAAAAAGAAAGGGAAGTGGGGAGGGGGGCAAGACCCTTACAGGTCACCGGGACACCTCGCCCTCACACAACCAGACCACAGTTTCGCACCTAATTGCTCCTTAATTGTTCCAAGGGCGGGAGTGGAGGAGCTGGCTACAGCCAGCCCTTCAGGCTGTGGCTAATGGGGGGGGGGGAGTTTAAACCAATTATTTAACCACCCGATGCCCATCTGACATAAAGACCCCTGTCTCTCTAAGCCCTAAGGACTCTATCTAAAGGGAGGGAGGACACCCTCAGGCAGCAAGCCAGTTACGTGAGGATCAAGGGGGTTGAAAGCAATTCAATAGCACCGAATTTAAATCCTAAGAGTCTGGAGCAGGAGTGGAAGGAAGAGCCCCACGGGATAAGAAGAATGTGAACCTCATCAACTTTTACGAAGTGCTCCCCCCACCCCAACGGGGGGAAGGGGGTCTGGGGCCAGGTGCAGCAGAGTGAACCTCCCCCCCCCACGCCCCCAGCAAAGCACAAGATGGACAAACCCAGCTGATGGGGGACTAGAGACCCTCATGCGCCCAAGCAAAGGAGCCAGAAAGAGCCAAGAGCACCACACTGGTTACTTTCAACCAGACAGTTTTCCCAGCTTCCTGGCAATGATGCCAGCAGACAGCTGGCACGGGAGGGAGCCCAAAATAACCCAGACAGCTGGGGTGGGGGGGGTGCCATGGACACAGGCGATGGGCTGCAAGTCAAGACACCTGGAATCCCATCCTGGCTGCCAGTGGTGGCCTCATGACCTTGGGTGAGTCACTTCTACTCTCTGTGTTTTGGGAGAGTGACCCCAAATCATGACCTGATCGTGGAACAGCTGAGGGCAGGCCACCACTCCGACTCAAACAACACAGGAGGAAAAATGGGGCTGGCTCCCTGCCTACGAAAGTCAGTCCTCCCCTTTGCCCTGAGGCTTTGCCACGTGCCTGGGGGGGGGGTGGGTTGGTGGGGGAGGAGCTCACAGGCAGCCCAACCCCCACTCCCTGCAGCCACAGGGGAATGGAGGCCAAGTAGTGTGAAGCCAGAACGTGAGGCCAAGCCCCCTTAATCACACTTAATCCTCCCACTCCCATTTCCAGCCTGCATCTTTATTATCATTGCACACAGGAGAGACTCACCCAAGGTCACCGGCACAACCACTGGACTTAGAGCTTCCCTTGATCAAGTGCCAAGATGGCTCTCAACCAAACCTCCAGGTCAAGCCCTTCCGGCTCCCCCAAACCTCAGTTTAGCCCTCACACTGAGGGGTGGGATCAAAGTGGGCCGGGCTCATCCCACAAGGAAGCCAGACCTCACTTCCGATGGGGGAGTGGTGCAGGCCGGTGGCACCTGGGCCCAAATGGTTCATCAAAGTAATCCCTTAACTAGAGATCACACGGGGGAGGGGGCAGAGATCAAGGGCCACACCACCTCCAGCTGTGGAGCTTCCTGGAGACAGTGGGAAACCATCAGCAGCCCACTTGAGTAAGGAGAGAGTTGCCATTACTGGGAAGCTAATGCCTGTGTCAGGCCCTGAGCTTGGGGTTTCCAAGTGCGCTAGCTCCCGTCCTCACAAAACCTCCAGGTGTTACCCTGCCCAAAGATTCTCAAAACGTGTCCTCGGCTTGCAACCATCAGCATCACCTGGGACCTTGTTAGAAATACAAGTTCCCAGACCCCGCCTACGGTGTGGAAAAACTGGGCCCTGCAGTCGGTTCTACCGGGCATGCCCGAGACTGGGAATCAGGACCCAGCCCCATCTGTGCACAGGGGGAAACGGGCTCAGAGACTAAGCAGCTTGAGCAGAGTCACAGCACGTAAGTGGCTAGCCAGGTTTCAAATCCTTTTGTCTGATTTTAGAAACAGTATTTTTTTGGGAGGGGGGTGGGGGCACAGAGAAAGGCGGAATTCCCAGGAAAGGGGAGAAGGGTCAAGAAACCTCTTTCTCAAGAGGAAGCTAGCCCAGATCTCAGGTCCTCGTGTTCTCCACCTCCCTAGCAGCTAGACAGCAGAGGGAAGAGGTTGGCTCACACAGTTACCCCACACACCCCCACTCAGCGCCGGAAGGGAGGGCCAGAGTAGGGCCGGGCTTCCTGGCGGCAGACCGTGCCTTTCAGAAGAGGCACCCCGGGCCCTCCGCGCCCCCCCACCCCCAACACAAGTGGGAAATGCTTGCAAGCAGCCTCCTATGCGGCTCAATCCGGCAGAGAATTGCACGCCCCAAAGGCTTGACAACAGAAGCGGACAGGCGGGGATGGATGGACCGAGCAGGCCCAGCAGGGAGCCGACTTCACACACTCACACACTCACACTCACACACACACACTCCCACACATCTGTAAGGGGGAGGGGCTGCAGAACCAGCTTAGCGGGTTTGGGGTGCCCGCCCTCCCTGGGCTCCAGGCCCAAGCCCCCCAAATCTCCCTCACAGGCTGGCAAAGGACTCACACCTACCTTATTGTCAGAGTGAAATCAGGCCTGCTCCTGCTGTCCAAAGGAGGGTGGTTCACTCTGGGGGTACCGGGCGGTTGCCCGTCCTCCAGCCAAGAGCCTGACAGGACAAAGTCGGAGGGTTTGTTAGGGACTTGACAGCCACAAACCGGGCAGGGTCCCCTTTGAAAGGGAGCCTCACAATAGCCCCCCCTTTCCATCTGCCCAGGCAGCCCTCACTCTGGAAAGGATGGGGGGGAGGGGTGCCGCTGAGTCACGAAGGTTCAGCCCGGGCGACTAGCAGCAGGAGGCGACTCATCTGCATTTCCAAAGGCCCGCCCTGTCCACATCCCCTCCCCGAGAAAGGGCCGGAGATATGAGGGCTTGCCCTAGAGCCCTCCGCCTCGGGGGATCCCGGGGAAGGCCCGCTCAGCTTTCCCAGGCTACACTCTTTCCCCACCCCCCACCCCACCACCCCCGGCCTCCGGAGCGCAGGGTTGGAGGGTGTGCCCCGAAATACCAAATCAGGACGTCGGTGGCCTCCGGGAGGGCCTCGAGCCCAAACTGGGGACAAAGGGGGCCCCCACCCCTCGGGCTCGGGGAGCCAGACTTGGGCGCCGAGGCCCGGGTATCGACCTAGGGTCAGGGCCGGCCCCCGAGGAAGGCTGCCCCCGCCTCGGGAGGCACCGGTCAGAGTCAGGGAGAGCCTCGAGGCCCCGACCGTCCCCGTGGTCCTTTGCTACTGGCTTCCATGGTCCCGCCTAGCCATGAGGCCTCCTCGTGCCCGCGCGGGCCCCGAGTCGGGCGCGGGGTCCGAGACCTCTGCGGAGCCCGCGGTCGTCGAGGCCTCCCCCGGCTAGGGGCGTCCACGCGGGCGGCGGCCTGGAACGCGGGCGGCGGCGCGCCGGCCTCCCCTCCCCCCCTCGCCCGGCTCCGCCGCCTCCTTCCCTCCTCCCTCCTGGCGCGCAGCAGCCGCCACCGCCCGAGCCGCGGGCGGCGCGCGAAATGGCGCCGGTCTGGCCGCCTCGCCCGGCGGAGGCGAGCGCGGGAGCCCGGGCGCGCGACGCCCCCGAGCCAGCGGCCCCCCCGCAGCAGTTTCCGCGGCCACCCTCCGACCTGGGGCTCTGTGCCCTGCAGGCTCTCGGGGCCCGGCCCGGCGAGGGGCCGCCATCAGCCCCAGGCCCCCAACGACAACCGGGGAAGGAACGAGGGAGGAAGGAGGAGGAGGGCGGCCGCCATTTAGCCACCGGCAGCCCGGCCCGCTCGCCTGCCTGCCCCCCGGCCCCGGCCCCCGCCCCGGGCCTCGGCTGACAGCTCTGCTCTGAACCTGAAAATAAAACTCGTGTTTGGGAGGGAGGAGCGAGCGCGGCCCGGAGAACAGGCACCGCTCGGTGGCAGGCAGGAGAGATGCTGCGTCATGGTGCCAACATGGACGCCGGCCTTTTGTCCTTTTTTTGCTTAGGAAGCGCAGGCACGCCCCGGAGCCCCGAAAAGCCGGCTTCAGAGTGCGAGACCCACAATCAAAAGAAAGAGTTCCTAGGCCGAGCGGGGACGTTTCCTTGTCTTTTGAGCCCCCCCCCCCCCCCCCACAACACTTCAGTTTTCCCCTCCCCATCAAGGCGCAGACCTAGAAAAGCCGGGAGGGAGGGGGATGAGCGCAGGCAGCTCCATGGATCCCATAGCTCGCTGGGGGAGAACCTCCCCTCGCCTCCGGGGCAGAAGGGTCTAAGGAGCCCTCCTCATACCCCCACCCCTCCCCATCCGGCTGCCAAACCTAAAGCTCCAGAAACCTCCTTCTCCCCTCGGCTCCCAAGCATCTGCAGCCCCTTGGCCTGCTCGAAAAAAGATTTCCTCGAAGGGGCAAAAGGCCTTTTTTTTTTTTTTTTTTAAAAACTTACCCGCTCAGCCCGGTGCCATGGAGTCTGGAAGATCAACCTGGGCGGAGGTTTTGGACGTGTTATGTAAAAAATATCTTTTGGGGGGGATTGTTTAGTTAGGATTTTGGGGAGAATGGTGGTGTCTTTCCTGTTGTTACCTTTTTGTAAGTTACACTCTCATGGCATTTTCTGCTCCTTCCACTTCTGCAAACTTTCCAGGGTTGGGTTGGCAAAAGGCGGCTTCGCTGAGGACTGTTTACTGCTCTGGATATAGCAATGGTGTGATCGTCATTAAGAGACAAAAGGCGAAAATACACAGTCAAATCAAACAAAAGGCAAAAGACGCACGGCCATCCCAACCACCATAGAAAATACCCGCGAGTTAACGTTGGTGTTTGGCTCGAACCAGCTAGGACTTGTTTTCCAGTTTTAATCTAGTTTCCTGTGACGGCTTTAGTCTCTGTACACAAAGAGAAGGTCTTCCTTTCCCTCACCCACTCCCCTACCAAGACGAGAAAAACAGAGCTGTTTTTCTTCAAATAGATCGATTTTCAAAGAAAGTGTACATGTTACTGGGAAGAAAGCTGACTAGCATTTATGGCTGTAAACATTTTCAAAAGCTTAAAGCTAAAACCTTAGCTTTCTAAAAAGCAAAATCGTCTAAAAGCATTTTAACTGGCTTATATTAGACAAAAGCGACAAAGACATACATGCAGATGAAGGTTCAGAAAATTAAGGACATCTCAGCAACATTTACATAGAAACTGCACTGCGTAAGGACACAATGGATTGGGTACTTACAATGTAAAAGGTTTTTAAAAACTTAAGAGTAACAACTGCTTACAATTTTTTGTTGCTGCCATTTCGCTAGTCCTAAAACTATACATTTAAAACATTACCTTGTTAAAAAGAGAGCAGAAGGAGTTAATAAGATGGCCAGGTTTAAGTGCTTAATAGAGGAAACTATATATATTTAAAAATTTATTGTTCAGTCAGTCAAGAGAATACAGATTAAGACAGCTCCAAGCTCCCCCCACCCACCCAAGAAAAAAAAGGAAAAAAAATTAAATATGTCATTTACTTAGGTTTTTTGGAATTCAAAATTGTTAACTGCTGACATTAATGGTGTGCTATGACCTAGTTATACAAGACAAAGATGGATTCCAAGTCATAAGGAAAAATCCAGATCTTTTTAAAAAGTCTTCTTCATTCTTCCAATTGTGAGTCCTTTAGCCTGTTGACAAATGTTAAACACAACACTGAGGCGTCCTGAACTGGATGGTGGAGTCAAAGGAAAAACATTCCCCATTTGCAACAAAGGAAAAACCCACTTGGCCATTTAATTCCATTGCAGAAAAATGGCTCCCCTCATCTGTTGGCCTCTCCTTGGTGTCTGATGAACGATGTTTTGAGATCAGCGTCTAATAACTCAAGCCCTATAGAAGCCGCGCGCTGATTGGCTGCCGCGCCCTGCCGCCCTGCTCCAGCCAATTACCTACCCACGGCCAAATTACAAACCCCGAAAAGAGCCCCAATATGAAATACACCACCACGAAGCCCCAGCAAGGCGGCTCCTTCGCCTCCGCGACCCGAGAGGAGAGGCAGAGGGGGCTGCAAATGCGTCCTCGTGAAGCCCGGGAGCCTCGGAGTTGAACTCACAAAATGGAAGCCGCGCGCTGATTGGCCGCCGCCACTCCCGGACCTTTAATAAAGAAAGGGGAAGGAAAAGATAAATGCAAAAAAGGGGGACTCTCTCCTCTGCTGGTGGAGGAAGAAGGGGGGGGGGAGAAGCATGTGTTTAGGACAATTACAGGGCGCTCCCCTCCAAAAATAAAAACAGAGCAAAAAGCTTCTATCACCCAGGTCCAGGCGAGGGCTACATCCTCCCAGCAATGTGAATGCTAATTTGGTTAAAATCCTGGTTTCCCCTCCCTAGCTCAGCTCCAAGGGGGAGGGGGTTTCGGGGCAGAGGAGGAAGCCGGAGCAGAGATACCTCGATTGCAACTCGTCTTGAGTCGTCTTGCCTCCCCCCATGGTTCCCAGAGTCTAAACACACAATCACACCCCCCCGACCAAAAAAAAAAAAAAAAAAAAAAAAAACCAGCCCCTTCCCTCAGAGCCCCCACGCGCCCACCTCCGGTCTTGGCAGTTTGGAAACAGTTTTGGAGGCCCCAGGCGCACGCCGCGGCAGCCGCGGCTCGGAGGGTAGCCCCAGCCGCGGGAGGTAGAGCCTGGGGAGACCCCCCCCCTCCCCCGCCAGCCAAGCCCCCCACCTAAGTCCCAGCAGAATAAATAAATTAAAAGGCCTTCCCCCGGGGAGGGGGGGAGGCAGTGTGGGAGCGCGCGAGTGAGGGGTGGGGGGCCGCTGGGGCCCGGGGCTTTGGCGGCGCAGCTGCCGCCGCCGGGAGAGTGCCTGGGGAAGCGGCGAGGAAGGAGAGGGGAGGAGGAAGAGGAGGAGGAGGAGGAAGAGGAGGAGGGTGAGCGCTCGGGTCGGGCTCCTTAGCGGTGTATTGTGGGATGTGCGGCTACTGGGAGCCGAGCCTCCGCCGCCAGCCGCCTCCCGGGCAGCAGCAGCAGCAGCAGCAGCAGCAGCGGCGGCAGCAGCTCCGGGCCCGGCAGCCGCGGCGGCGGCGCCCCCCCCTCCCGGCCCCCCGTCCGGCCGCCCCGGCCTCGGCTCCCGCGGGGGACACCATGTACTGGCTGGCGGCGCAGGGAGGCCGGCGCCCGGCGGGGATGTAAGCGCGGCTCAGGAAGAGAGAGGCCGCGGTCGGCAGCCGGGCGGCCCCGAGCCCCCGGCCCCGGCCCCGGCTCCGGCCGACCGGGCCGGCGGGCGGGCGGGCGGGCGGCGCCAGGCCTGCCGCGAGCC